AGAAGTTTAAAGAATCTAAAATCTGGATGATAAAAAAGTTTCCTAGTCAGGAAGCCACAAAAAATGATGGAAAATAATGTTTCTATAACACTATCATGTCAACCATACATTTCCACGTGTTTCCCTCTACTAAAAGGCTAAGTTTGCATAAATTACACATGCAAAGGAGATCAGCATTTTATCAGCTAACAATTGCAGCATGTGAAAACATAGTCTATAGTGATATGGCTACCGAACCTCACATAGAAGCAATTCATACTATGCAAAAGCTAAAGGTAAGTTCCATTCTAACATATCTAAAAGATCTTGTATCTTTCATCATTGCCAATTCCAAAATCTATCTCAGAACCCATATAACGCCTAACCACATAAAGCAGTAGAAACAAGTTGCAAATATGAACAGAAAGTTAAAATGACTCCAAGATCAATCATGCAAAACGGAACCACACTCCAAGCAAAACCAGAGCAGAACAAACCGAGAAAACAAATCAAATAGAGAGTTAATTCAAGAGCATTCGAATATTTATTTATAGTTTTCTTATCACTTCTTGGATTATTAATATTAATTGTCTCACCTCGTCTGACTAGAGCATCTACCAGTCTCCTTAAAACATTTGCTAATAGAACCGAAAGAAGATTACAGGTTGACACAAGAAAGACAAACAGAGCAAAAAAAATCAAATTTTTAGCAGGAAAAGAAGCTCCCTAAAACAAATCAAACATAGAGTTAAATCAAGAGCATTCAAATCTCTCTCTCTCTCTCGTCAACATGTCTTCTTAAAACATTGAGAACAATCGCTAACATAGCCCAAAGAAGATCACAGGATGACACAAGATAGGCAAACAGAAAGAACAGAAAATTCAAATTTTTAGCAGAAAAAGAAGCTCCTTTCTTGCTACCTACGGATCCAAGAGGAGAAACCCAGCAACCCTGGTGTTGAAGAGAAGAACCGCCCAAAGCAACAGACCACAACCTCCGATGGACTATCCTCATCCCATTTTTATACACCCAAAGTCCGAGGTAAGCCAGCCAGTCGTGAGGCATTAAAGTCCTTTGGCCCCTTCAACGACGAAGTGCAGGAGGATTGGGGGTGTTCCCTTCCGGGTCGGAAATACTGGCGGCGATGCCTCCCCACGAGGCCACGCCTTGGACCATGCCAAGGTTTCCACTTTATGGTTCCACAGTCGAAGAGGCGGAGGCAGAGGAGGGTCAAACGGGACAAATTGAAGCCTTTATGGAGTACTCCTTCAACGTTGGATTTGTTGGGCCAGTCAAGATAATGGCTCGTGTCACCACCCTAAGACCTTGCAATTATGACCTCCCTCTGAGAGAGCGATCGGATTCTGTCGCTTACCTGGGACAGAGTAAATTACTAATATACCCCCATTGTAAGTTAATATCAAATCAGAATTTAATGATAGCATTATCATCTTAGCTTGTCACTCACTAGCATGGAATTTTATTACATCAATCAACAAAAATAAAAAGCATATCAAGTTAAAATTATTTGGGGTTGTTTTTAATCATAATTAAGATTGATAAAAAGTCATATCCCTAATTAAATTAAAATATTTAAATTTTTATTAAAGCTTATTTTAGGTCTCTTTAGCTCTCATCTTACCACCACTAGTAGTAGTCATTTTATCAAATTAAGTAATTTTCTTTATTTTATCCTTTATCTTATTCCTCTTAACATTTTCATCTCTATAATATTATATATATATATATACCTTTTTAAATATCAGATGTATAAAACATTATTGTCCTAATAATTATTGACCATATAAAACTTTTGACACTCCTTATAATCATCCTATTAAAATATTTATTATGTATGTAATTATATTTTCTTTTTTTAAAAATATTAATCTGATAGTCTGAGAGTTGACAAAGTCAATGCCAATTTCCATATTCACAAAGCAGAATAAAATAGTAATTTTGTGACTGTAGTACGAATGTTGTTCGCATTCGAGACATTACATGTCATTCAACGAGTTAGGATGATAGTGATGGGTGAGACAATCAAGCACGCCACCATCATGTCAGAAGACTACGAGCTGGTAAATCGTTTGACCATTTCACATTTCCTTGGCAGACCTTTTGCGTCGGTCAAGTCTCCGTCTGGATTTGCACCAGTATTTTTGTCGACCATAGAACGTCGTCCTTCGCCTCCTCACGTACGAGCTCAGACAGGGAAGCGATAGAACAACTCCTTTTTCCTCCGACTTGCATCACCACTTCCCTTGGCAAAAGTGCTTGACTTGATCATTTTGTTCATTTGTTGCGACCGACGGAGCTTTCCAAAGTTTGTCAAAAAGGTTCTGGAGGTTGGGAGAAGACCTCCATGGCTCAATGGTTTGAAGAGACAATCTAGATGAAGTTTAGGGAAATGTGGATATCTTTTCCCACATTGTTCATATTAATTATCTCTTCTTCGTCTATATCGGCCTTAGTATGTGTTTAATTCCCCCTAAGCAAGTTTTTCTCATTTTGTTTTTTTAAGATAAAAATAATTGTTCTGCATATTCATCCTACCCTAAATAATGGATACCATAATCTAAAACAAATAATAAGATATATGCAATCACTCAGAAAAGGAGTCTCGAAATTTTTCTAGTTATTTTAATCTTTATTTTGACTGGTAGTCAAAGTTTAGAATTGGTGTGCCATTAATTTCATGGGAATGGGGTATAATAAGCTGCCAAAAGATTGCCAAGAAAGAATGGCAGCTATGTCTTGAGGAGACAAGAGAGGATAACAGCTGTGGTATCAAGCAATAAGATAGAGAATGTGAGGAGAGAAAGAAAGAGATGAGGCGAAGTGACAATAGACAAGTTGAAGTCAAAATTTTGCGTTGACCTTTCTACAAATATAATGCTTAATAAGGATATTGTAATAAATCCTTGTCCTCTGGTATCCTTGAATTATGAGTTTTTGATGTTCATCATCTTTTCCAGATATTTTTCAACCGTTCTAATTTTGCCCAACCAGTGTATTGCACCCATTCATGTTAAACCAATCTAAGTTTAAGATTAATATAATGAAATTGAATATTAGGACTTTCCAACTTAGTATAAATTAATTTTGGATAGTTACTTACATAACTATCCTTTTGGAACAATAATCGTTCTAGTTTCTAAACGACCCTACTCGTTCTATTTTTATTTTTAGTTATGTTAATTAATTCAACTTTATTGTTCGATTCACGAAAAGAATTAAGTCAAATTTCTAGTGGAAGGATAATATGGTTTAAATTTAGATGATAATGAGATTTTATTTTAAAAATATTAATTATATGCTTTCGAGTTTTTCTGAAATATTAATTTTATCCGACTAATTACATATTACCACATGTAGTTTGACCTCTATAGTATCTTGGTCCCTAAAGTTAAAAAATTTACATTGGAATCCCTATAATTATAAAAGTGAAATATCTAGGTTCATTTACTGTAACGTTATCGATTTCACCAATGGAAACATGAAAATGGTGGTGGTAGATAACATTGGTGGTGACGGACGATCACATCGTTGCAGGCTACAAATGGCTCCTGTGGATGAGCTGCATCTGCATTGACGCTAATGCATTGTCAAGCGATGAAAGGTTTGCTCATTGTGTCGGTGTCGATACAGTTGTCGAGCAGCACCACTATATATCTACGTTGACGTCGACGTAGTTATCGAGTGATGAAAGGATCGTTCATTGCGTCAATGTCGACGTAGTTATCGAGCGGCACCCCTCTGCATTTACATTAGCATCGACGTAGTTGTCAAGTGATGAAAGGGTCACTCACTATGCCAATGTCAGCGCAGTTGCCAAGTGACCCTTTTGTCGCTCGACAATTGTATCGATATCGACGAGTAGCTCTCATCTTTCGTCGTCGTTCTTCTCATTCATAATAGTCACCCGTCACTCTCAACGACATCGTCATCCACCACCATTAATGGGAATGATTGAAATTAGATATTTACATATTATTTTTATGTTCCCATTAATAAAATCGACGATATCATCAAATCTAAGTGTTTCATTTTTATAATTATAGATATTTTAATATAATTTTTTAAAATTTAAAAATCGATCTAACTACATGAGATAATCTACAATTAAACTTCATTTTACTTTCTTCTTTCAACATGCATTAGTTTCCTTAATCAATCTGGAATGTAAGCATCAAAGTGATTGCACCGTCTAATGCTACCAAAATCGAGTCCATGCGTGAGGGCTGACTTGGTGTCCACATCTATTTTGGATTTCTCTCTCTCTCTCTCTCTCTCTCTGGTGTGGACTTGCTCTGCCCCCGGAAAACCGGCTCCTTGGTCTCTGCAGACAACCCGCAAAGTCTGCATGAGAGCAGCTCGTGCTCTTCCCGTTGAAATCACCACATTTATCGCTATCACCGCTCACGTAAGTGGACACACAAGTCTCTTTCAGAGAGCACAGGGCGAGAACAGACTTCTTCTTCTTCCGTGTGTCGTCAAAGAGTAAAAGCTGACCTTTCTATTTGGCTGCCTTCTCGGGATGAGCGAGTCTGGAAGAGTAAAAGCTGACACGTCCAATGCAAGACTTCCCGCAATCGATAGGTCATTTTCCGTTTGGTCCACACGCTTGCAAAAATGATTTACACGTATGAATTCCTTTCCTCGTGTTCTATGTAAGATTGACTTGTTGTATTGTTTGGAAACCAGTAAGCACTAAAACTTGGACCAACACATACACACAAGAAGAGGCAGAATTGATTGCAATGTTGGCTCAACCAAATCTTGGATTCCAAATCAAGACTCAGTATCATGAAGCAAGTTAGTAAAGGTGTCATTACTGTCAGTAGCAACAACCCTGCAACTAGTGAAGCATTTGCGATACATCACATATTTAATGGAAGATGCAAAATTCATATGAATAGAAAGTTAAGGAAATGGATTATTTTGTACTAAATACACTTTGTTTGCTGTTCTGTGGTACATTATATGGGATTTCCTAGAAGAAACATAGGTAATCTTGTTAAAAAAAGAAACCATATGTATATAATGTAAGTATGCAGAAACCCAACTTGTCAAAAGAATGTACAATAATTCTAGAAATGAACAGTTTGCGACCGATATTGATTACAGTGATAAAAAGGATTGCGTAGAAGAGTCGGACGACAAGAAAGAATTGTCGACTAATAACACACGAACAAGAAAAAGGGCATGAATCCTTTATATTTCCTTGCATATCAAACCTGTACAAAGTAGAATCCATGTCATATGTTAATCACAAAGTGCAACCGGGTAAATTGTTACTTACAAAACGTACCTGGAGAACTAACGGAGTTCGTCATGATGGATAAAATCATTTTCCTCCTCAAAGATAGCACTATAAAATACATAAGGGTTATCAAGCATCTCTTGCAAACTTAAGTGCCCATCTTTGTTTGTATCTGCCTGCAGTTGCCAAATATTATTCAGTTACCATAAGTTGAGCAGCTAGAGTACATTCAAAAAATTTAAAACAAAAGCAGAAAAGCCTGGATTGGTCAAGAAAGCTTGCATGTATCAAAGCTAGATAAAGTATAACAGAATAATTATTGTATTCAAACCAGAAAGAGAGAGTTTGCAAAAGATGACTTAGAAACACCCACGAACAACTGTAAGCCCTCCTTTTCGGATTGAAGAGGTTGGCAGGGATAACGGTGTATAGAGAAAACAAGTCATGTTGTCTAAGACCATAAAACAATAAGGTTCAAATGATAATCTTAAGCACATGAAATAAATGATGTGAAATGAGACAAACCCACCATCTGCATGAGACAACAGGTGTGCATAATAAATGAAAAGATAAAAGGTGCTCCTTTTTACTTTTTTTTTGACTGAACAATGACACAATGGATTACACATTCTTCACACCTGTTACGGTCATGCAGAAACAAGCACCTCAGTGGTTGCTGTCAGCAAACAGCAGCATATCCACCAATTTAACACCATATAGAAGAAGAGTATAAAAAAAGTGCAAGATAACAATCGCAGAGTGATGGTATGAGAAAACATGAGGTCGACGCATTGTAGGAAATCCATGACAAACCATAAAAGTTTCTGAAACACCATCACCAGGAAAAGAAAAGGGAGCAATCAAGCTATGCAGAAACCAGATGCACATAGAAGTTCAAAACCCTTCTCCACAATTTAATCTTTTCCGCAAATACATTGCCCACAGAAACCACAGACCCTGACCTAGGAACTATGGAAATGAACCTTTTTTTTACTAATGTTTTCCAATTAAAGAATTATTTTCTTCATTTCTAGGAAATGAAGTATTGTATCCACCAGGGTCAAATACCATCAATTTATTTGATAAAAATATTCAAAATTTAGAGCTTTTTTATTCCAGAGCATTAAGCAACCATACCTGGGAAAGCACATAATCTGCTTGTTGTTTTGCATAGTAACGCTCTGATGGATGAAGATCATGAATGACAGGTTTCAGTTCATCTGCTGACAGAAAACTGAAAAAGGAACTTGCTAAGACTGAGGATACAAAATAAGCTACATGCCTTCATACAATTTCAACATTGCTCATTTATTAAGACATACCCATCGTTGTCCAAGTCGAGTCGTGTGAATAATTTTTTAGCCGGTATCTCATTTGAAGCATCTGTCTCATGAGTTGAACTATAAACTTCATCATAATTTCTGATCAAGTGAAATAAGCCAGTTAAGTATTCTTCAAAGTTGAGTTTTCCATCTTTGTCTTTATCTCTTTCCCTGAGAAAGAAAGAGTGAACCATGTAAGGATTCTGCCAACTATTACCAATAGTTAGAATGACAAAAAGGTATCTAAATTTTCCATGAGTAATATGGTAAGGTTGCCCATTGCAACCTACATGTCCAGGGTCAAGTTGTTGAAACAATCCCCTGCTTGTAAAGCCAAGGCTGCCTATCCCGGTCCTCCTCGTTGATGGGACCCCTTTTAGTGATTAGTGTGAAAGCTGATACAAGTCAAACTTGTTTTACAGACTGATGGTGCATCTTCTAGATGCAATAAGTCGCATAAGAGGTCTACTAGCACAATACTTTGAGAAAAACCCATTAGGAAATTTCACAACAGATTTATGTTATCGCCTCAAAAGACCAGGAAGTATTGTCTGAAGTTGAACAGTTATGATAGAAGCTAAGCTCATGCTTGAGGAATGATACACATAAAAGTTTTAGTTTATATTGTGTGTCTTCAAGGATACTTGTACAGCTGCATTTACTGGCAACCAGCTGCTTCTATCAACTTGAGAAGGTAAAAAGAGCTAGAAAGAGATCACAAATAACAGAGATGCATTTTCCACCTGTCCCAACCTAATAAAAATTGTGCATTAATTGGGATACTATAATTTATGTACGTTTAATATTTTGTAACAGTCAAGCCTAAACATATTTGGGACATCAGCATGCACTGGTAATGCAGCTGCATAACTACCTTTCTTACGGATGCAAGATGAAGGTCGCATAAATACCCTTAAGAATTATATATCATGATCCATAAAAAAAAGTAAACCTAGATAAGCTCTAGCACCTTATCTCTTCTTGACACAACCACTCAATCAGCTTTGGATTACTTGTGTCAGCCGGATGAAGAAAGCTGCAGAATCAATTAAAAGAGCGTCAGTGTGAAAATGTAAGAGATGAAAAGCAAAGCCAAAAAAGGTATCGGAGAACAAACTCATTGAACTCTATCAAATTGAGAAGGCTGTCACCATCCATGTCCGAAGCATTGAAATGGTCCTCTTTCCACCAACCAAATTTATCGTCAGTTTCATTATCTGCAAAAGATTTTAAGGCAGCAAATAAGGAACACTATAATATTCAACTCTCACAGGACATATCCTTCATGTGCACTTCTGAGCTCCTGTAAGTGTGTTAGCTGTCAAATTTGTGGCTAATGATCAAGTATAATTTGAATCAAATACCCATTGATTTCCATGTGCTGCATGCATTTCCAATCTCACCAAACAAAATGAAGTACATATTCATAAATGTCATACTTCGAGATACATTAAAACTTGATATAATAAAAATTAAAATTTGAATATTTCCAATACTGTCTGAGAATGGACAATTTGAAGTATATATTCATAAATAAGCCTACAAGTTCTATCATACCTCTGAATCAGCCTAAGATTATTATTAAAAGGTTTCGCGTTATCTTTCCCAACAGATCAATATCCATTATGGAACTTGTACCTTTCATAAAGGTAATGATACACATTACCACAAGTTAACGTAAAATTTAGTACCATTCAGCATAAACAAGATACCATGGCTGATTCAGAAGCATGACAGAACTTATAGACTTAATTTCCACATCATCTAATGGTAGAGGGAAAAGAGGAATCTCATGTCAAGGATTTGAAGTGACAGGTAACCAACATACAAAACCGATGAAATCCTAGCAATAATGTGGTTTTACACAACAATTTCTTTATCTCGATAGATTTTCCTCTCGAATATCAACTTTAATTTTGGTTTATTACTAGTTCCTAAACATTGGTAGCATGGAAAACCAATATTCAGTAAAAGAAGAGATTGTTAGTCTGTGTTTACTATTACTGTCAACATCTGCCACCCAGTTGTTCTCTTTTACTCCCAATACATGGATCGACTCATCCTGTAAAGTAAAAGTACCAACCAGGCTACAGTAAACTCTTTAGCATTGCATTCACCGATGACATCATCTATTAGATAGACTTATTTTCTTTTATTTTCCTATTCGGTAATATCATTCCTTCGTCCTGTTTATCCCTCGTACAGTTTGAAACGAGGATAACATTTATGCGACAGATCCTTCAAATTTTAAAATGGAAGCACTTTTGTGATAATTAATCAATGTCTTGATCAACACTCAAATATGATATTCTTAGCCGTCCATTCGTTTCTCTCTATCCATAGTCCAAACCTCAGATCAAACTTCATGCGATCGTCAAAACACGAAGCGGAGCAGAGCATGATTAAGAAACAAGTCAAACACCAATGATCGCCCAAAGAATCTCACTTTTCTCAAATTAGGGCATACAATCAATTAAAAGAAGTTTGCATGAATCAGAAGAAATCAGAGATCGGTCAGAAAAGATGAATCTTTACTAACCAATCAATCGACGCACCCAACTTGGCGGCTCGTACTCCTGGAACGAGATGAACCCATCACGATTCTTGTCATGGAGCTTCATGTCCCGCCGTGTCCGGTGCAACACCTCCTTCTCCGACTGCTTCAGGTTCCACTCGGCAAGTTCCTTGGAGGTGAGGAACCCGTCCGCGGGGCCGACGTCGATCTTGGGGAAGAGCAGCGAGATGCGGTGAGATACGTTGAACCGTCCCTCGTCGTTGATGTAGTCCTCGGCATCAATGAAGCCCTCCCACTCCGGCTGGGCCTCCGCGGGCGGGGCGCCAACGATGGAAGGGAAATGGGCCCTCTCCCACTCGCGGTCGTCGCGGCGGAGCTCGATATCGGCGATGATGGGGTCGAAGGGGATGCGGCGGTCGCCAGCGGCCGTGGTGCCGCTGGCTGGGCGGAGCTTGAGGCGGCGGTGGGATATGTGGGGGCGGCTCGGGCCGAGGGAGAGGAGGAAGAGGATCAATAGTGCTAGGGTTACGTACGTCACCACCACTGGCGCGGAGGACTTCCCCATGCCGACTCCTCCTTCTTCCTCACCTCCTCCACCGCTCGCACTATTTCTGTCGTGAGGCGGTCGACGAATGTCAAGTAAAGAGTCGAGGGTTGCAAACGGCGTCGCCTCTTCTCTTGTAGCCAAAAATACTTCTCTACCTGTTAGGACGGCACTCTCTATGTTACCCGATGGGCCCAGTATAATTTCCGGTCACAGCACATCTAGGTGTCGGTGTCGGTGTCGGTGGAACGAAATATGGTACGCGGAGATCAGTCACATGACGGTCAACGTCGGACGACGGCTTAGGCTCGGATGAAGGATCTTCTCCAAGTTTTGTACTAACCTTAACCGATCGAACGGTTCATATGCAAATAAGGTTGATGTTCTCCCAGATATGAAGGAATTGAAGAATATTTTTAAAAGTTATATTGGATAGGATCTCTCCGTCCTCTGGAGACAAGCGCCAGGACAAAGTTTCAGATCTGATGTGTGTCAGTGGGCTTTTGTAAGGGAACTAAGATCTGATCGACTAAGATGGAAGCAGCTCATAACTTTTTTGGATATCTTTATTTAAGTCATTTAGATAAAATATTCATATTTTCATAACTTTCTTATAATTATTTTATATAATAACCTAAAATACTCCCCATTACCTTTTTTTTTCCTTCCTTTTTTCTTTCCAACCAATAGAGTGAACTGATCCAATTATAATATTTTTTATATTTTTTTATTATAATATTTTTATACTACATTATCATTTTTTTATAGCGATGTTGAAATTATATGTAATGCGTAATAGCATTTTTATTCTGTGGTATAGTAATTTTTAGTATTATTAAAAATATTATAATATAATATAAATTTATTTTTTTATAAAATTTATCAAATACTTTTTGTTATAATATTTTATACTATATTATATTTTTTATATTATTAAAAAATTATAAATAATATTATAACTAGATCAATTTGTCCTATGAAAAAGGATGCTTCTATTGGGTTGATTCACCCTAGCAAAAAATATATTTTTTTTTAAATATTAGATTAAAAATATTATTTAGAATTATAAATTTGAGGGGTGCTTTAAAAAAACCCAAAAAGATAATTTTTTTAAAAAAATTCATCCTCCGTTTTGATAAAGCTTTAGATAATTTGAGTATTTAAATAATCATATGCCTATGTTAAGGAAAATGGTCATCAACATTTGAGTTAACCCGAGGTTGTCCAAGTCCAAAGTGCTGAAGTGTATAAAGTGGCTTAGAGGTGACTCAAAGTGGAGTTGTTGAGCTTTCAAAGCGTCGCCTGCATTAAGACAAATGTTGGGAGAAGTTTCCTAGCATAGTCCATCCAACGCTCAAGTTAATAACTAAAGTCTCTAATGGGTATGAGTGTTTTTGGGAAAGTGAGACCCCGGTGTAGTGCTGAAGATTACCTTTTATACTTGGCCTTAGAGGGGGTAACCTATAATCATTCCAATGTCTCCCTCTTAGCGTTTTATCCACATAGGTGGTAGGGGAGATACAACCTCGAACGATTTGTCTTAGACTTTTGTCCATGCTGGCGGATGAGAGAGGGGTAACCTAGAACATTTTTCATCCACGATAACTCTTACATGGTGCTTATGTGAAAGAGGATGATTGACTATTATAATATTTTTTTCTATCATTTATTCCCCTCCCAAAAGTATGCTTCGGAGCTCTTGTTAGAGGGGTTTGAAGTGTAGCGTTCAATTCATCCGATATGAGAGTGTTTAAGATCTCCTCTTGTGGGTTGGGTTTTCCTAACTAACGTCTCATGCGATGACGGAGGTCGGGCATCCCAACCTCCTCATCTTGGGCAAAGATAAGGATCGGGTGTCCTGACCTCCATGCCTTACATGATGGTGGGGGACGGACATCCTGACCTTAACGCCTCACATGATAGTGGAGGTCGAGCATCTGAAATCCACACCTTGGGCGAAGGAGGAGGTTAGACATTCGACCTTGTGCCTCAGGTAAAGGCTGAGATAAAGCATCTCGACCTCCACCCCTCTTGTAGAAGCGAGGGTCGGGCTTCCCGACCACTACGCCTTAGGCGAGGATATATGCCCAACATCCTTGCCTCTTATAGAAGTAGGGGTCAGGCTTCCCGACCCCAACACCTTAGGTGAGGATAGAGGTAGAGGTTAAGAGGCCCGACCTCCTTGCCTCTTGCTAAGGCGATTGGGCTTTCTGACCTTCATGCCTCTTGGGGTGATGAGGGTTAGGCTTCTTGACCCACACACCTTAGGCTTCTCTGACTCGTGGCTTCTGTTGTGATAGATTTCTTTTGACGTAGGGTCAATTTTTTTGACTCATGTGCTTTAAACACATTTTGCTTTATGCCTTTGCCGTGACAAATTTTTTCTCATGCGGGATGGGTTTTCTCGACTCATATATCTTGGGCACATTCGACTTGTGCCTCAACTATAGTGGATTTCTTCACACATAGGGTAGGTTTTCCCAACTCATGTGTCTCGAGCACATTTCACTATACACTTCCATCGTAGCAGATTTCTTCTCACGTGGGATGAGTTTTACTAACTCATGCATCTCGAGTACATTTGACCTGTGCTTTTGCCATGACGGATTTTTTTCTCGTGTGTACCAAGTTTTCTCAACTCATGCATCTTAGACACATTTGACCTGTGCTTTCATTATGACAGGTTCCTTCTCATGCAAGTCACTTGCGTTATGACAAATTTCTCTTTGTGTAGGTCATATTTTTTCGACATATATGCCTTAGGAATATTTCACCTTACGCCTCTACCGCAGTTGATTTCTCTTGGCACGGGTCGAGTTTTCCCGGCTCACACACCTCGATCACATTTCACCTTGGGTCTCCACTATCATGGATTTCTCGAGGTGCGAGTTAGATTTTCTCGACTCACAAGCATTGGGTACATTTTGTCATGCACTTCCATTGTGATAGAATTTTTTTTTGACGTAAGTCAAGTTTTCCCGACTCATATGCCTCAGGCATATTTTGCTATATACCTCCATCGTGATAAATTTCTTATGGCATGGGCTGGATTTTTTTAACTCATATGCCTCAGGTGGATTTCTCTTGATGTAGGTTTGGTTTCCCCAACACATGCCTTGGGCATATTTCATCCTAAGCCTCCATCATAGTAAATTTCTCTCAGCGTGGATTGGATTTTTCGACTCACACACCTTAAGCATATTTTACCCTTCACCTTCGTCGTGGTAGATTGCTCTTGGTGTGGTTCATGTTTTTTGACTCACATGCCTCAAGCACATTTCATATTATGCCTCATTCATGTTAGATTTTAGGTTCTCTCTCTGTCGTGATAGATTTCAAGTCTTCTCTATATAGTGGTGGCTTTTGGATCCGCTCACCATGGTAGATTTTAGATCCTTCCATCATGTTGGGCTTCAAGTTCTCCCTCTGTCATGGTAGATTTCAAGTCTTCTCTTCGTCATGGTGGATTTTGGATCCTCCTGTAGTGGTGATCTTCAAGTCCTCCCTTCGTCATGATAGATTTCTTCTTATACGGGATGAGGTTTTCTAACTCATGCATCTTGACATATTCAGCTTGTGCCTCCACCGTGGTGGATTTCTTCTTATATGGGTAGGGTTTTTTCGATTCACGTATCTCATGCGCATTTGGATTATGCCTCCATTGTGAATGATTTCTTCCGACGCAAGTTAGATTTTTTGACTTATGCATCTCAGGCATATTTGGCGTATGCCTTTGCTATAGCATATTTTTTCTTACGTTAGTCAGGTTTTCCCAACTCACCCGTCTCAAGCATATTCAGCCTTTGTCTCCGTTGTAGTGGATTTCTCTTTATTTATTTGTTGTAGTGGGCTTCAGTTTCTTTCTCTACCATGGTGGATTTTGAGTCTTTTTGTTATGGCAGGCTTCGAGTTTTTCCTTTGTGACATGCAGGTTCGTAGTCCCGAGATGAGAGGTGGAATTGCTTGTGAACACCATCAACGAAGAAGTCATAAGGGTAAGATCGTTAGCTGGGATCCTAAGTTTTTGAAAAGCATCAAAATAGAGAATATCGATAGAGTTATTGTACCAATTATGACCCTCTTTACATGAGTGTTAATCATCCTTACAGAAACCACTAAGGTATCGTATGAACCTTTACTCGTCGCAATACCTATCATATGTATATCACCCTCTAGGCTCAATATCGAGCTAGTAGTGAGTCATACCTATCAAAACTCCTTTTAGCTTAGTGAATTATTATCTTCATAATAATTTACTCGACTTATTGACTACGGACGTATTAGGCAACTATGTCATAATCCACAAACGATATAAAGAAATCTAATCCATTTGGACATGTTTGTCCTTAGTTACCATATACCTATAGTCCCTCATCTATCTAATACCCCAGAGATCGTATACCAGGTATAGTACTGTCAGGCTCGCATGGTTTCTCCTTAAGTCCCGCTCTAATTGGATTCTCCTAGAGAACTCTTTCTCTCTCAATCTGAACGACTTTGGCTAGGGATTTGTTTGAGTAAAAATATATGATATATTCCTCTCATGACACCGAGAGCGGATGATCTTCTATCGACCCTCAATAGCCCTCGTAAGGTTGGCTACTACTCCCGATGACCGGCTATACTAGATCTTGAACTTTCAGACATATAAGTCCAGTATTAAAGAGTGGAATATTCATATAGGACATCCTCAGTATCTCAATTCTAAGGACCATATACACCACTAGGACAATGAAATCATTATCTAACAATGAAATATCATTAACCATCTAACATTCTGTGAGCGGTTCAATCAGTAAACTCATTCTCCAATGAGCACCTGCACTATAACTCTTATGTCCCCACATAAGAAGCTATGAGACCAATCGTCTCCATCATATATATGGGTATACAGTACACTAGTCTATCCAGTTATCTCGATATCCCTCTTGAATAATCTATGATTGGAATTGTTTAGAATCTATGTTTAAAGGCGAATCAGTTTCATTATCGTGATCGTATCATGATCCGATTCTCATTGCACAGATCCATGGACATCACTATATATATATATATATATATATATATATATATATATATATATATATATATATATATATATAAAGTGATAAAATATCAAATAATATAATAAACAAAAAAATACGTATTATGTCACATGTGTCATCATTCACGTGATTAGCTTGTAGGGCACCTATGACTAGCACAAGGAAGTCAGCTTGAGTTGGCCATTTCTTTTTCAATGGGTCAATCATTTTTTCTTTACCAGGTCGGTCATAGGGCACCTATGACTAGCACAAGGAAGTCAGCTTGGACCTCAAGTGAGGCAGCTTGAGTTGGTCATTTCTTTTTCAATGGGTTGATCATTTTTTTCTTTACCAGGTCATTTTTTTTCTTTTTTCTTTTTCAATGGTAGTCACTCTTGTCTCAACCTTTTGCACATCTCCTCACTCTTACTTGAGATCATTGCCTCCATGATAATATATTGGTTAGCCCTTTAGAGCACCTCGGGCATCGTCACCAGTGGCCTCTCTACCAATGACTAAAAAAAATGAGAGGGCTTAAGCCCAATTATGAAGGCCTATACAATAAACGATGGATGGGTTTCTTGTACGAATCTCGTTAGTGAATCAAACGACAAAGTCGAAAAATGTATTTTTTTCCTCTCATTTGCTTGAGTCTAATAAGCATTATCATCGATGTCCTCGAGTGTACATTATCGATGAAGTAGAACTCAAACTCCTTTGCCAACTAAGCAAAAGAGCACCAAGAGAGGTTTCAAGTAAATGTACCATTCTTATGTTGGGCCTCTTAACATTGTAAGGAATGTGTGATATATCAAGGCATTCGAGGTGTCCTACGATGATATTTGGGCGTGGAAGGCGATAGTATACTCTATTGGGTCAATACTATTATCAAGGACCTCTAGTAATGGCAGGTGAAAGTTCATCGGGATTGGCTCCTCCTAGATGTTTTGAGTGAGTGAGGACTGATCTAAGGTGGGATCAACCAAACTTTTCTCTCATGATTGTTGGAACTCTTGCTACATCTTTTCTAAGTATTGGTTCATTTGCCATAGTTGAATCTTCAAGGAGTCATCCCTCGAATCCGATGATTTGGTCTCGGGTTGAGGCTGAGCGCAACGATGATGTGGTGGTGCACTTTATTCCACGACTGGGGAGCGGGGCGCTCCCTCGGTCAGCAATTCTATAGGCCTAGGACAATCCTGAGATGTTGGCACCGTGTCAAGTAAGGGAATCTCGACAAGTACTAAAGCTAGTGGATGTTGACGTACTGATTGCGACCAAGATGATGGTGTTATTTGTTGGGCTAGCTGAGACAAGAGCGGGACAATAGCCTGCATCATGTCCGTTAGTGTCTGTATTTGTTGGGTGAAATTCAAGAACACCTTGGTAGGGACAAACAAGTGGCTCAAGGTCATCCCTAGGGCGAATGGCCCAGGTCATTGAACGGACGCCAGTACCGTGCCAGCGTTTGCATCGAAGTAAACACATCCACATGAGGGAAGGATGAGAGTTGCCCCATTAAGTAAAAGTGATATATGTCAAAGGTAGGGCCTCCTTATTGGAGCATGTGTTAGGAGGATTGACGGATGAACATTCCTGCAATATTAGGCCCTCATTTTAATGTCAAAATATTAGGAAAAATCATCGTTGATGTCTGAGTTAACCCAATATAGTCTAAGCCTGATGGCATAAGAGAGTCTAAAGTGGTACTAAGGTAAAGGTGTCAAGCTCCCAAGGTGTCGTTTGCACTAAGATCGATGTTAGGAAAAGTTTTTCGACATAATTCCTCCGACGCTCAAGTTAATAATCGAGGTCTCTGATGAATTATTTTTTTTTAAGAGAGCCCTCTCGACATCGCGTCAAGGATTACCTTTTATACCTGACCTTTGAGGGGATAACTTATAATCATTTCAACATTTGCATCTTGACGTTTTGTCCATGTGGACAATAGGGGGAGATAGCCCCGAATAGCCTGTCTTGTACTTTTGTCCATGTGGGCAAACGAGCGAGGGGTGACATAAACCTTTTTCCTTCACGATAGCTTCCACGTGATGCTTATGTGCCAAATGATGGTTGACCGTTAATATATTCCATAATAGATTTGGATTTAGATAAGTTAATATCGATTTGATATTTTGTCCATTCATATTTTATTATTAAATAATATATTTTAATTAAATAAAATTAATGTTCTTACTATGTTTATAAAGTATTAAATAAATTAGAATACCAATTTACCGGTCAGAATTTGGAGGGATATATATGAAATTTTAGTTTTTTCCTGGATTTTTTAAATACTCGTCTTAGGAATCTAAGAAAGTTCCAGAAAAGGTGCGACTTTAATCGCTGCGTGTGATTACTCACGAATCTTAAAGCAGCGTTACCTGGGTCGCCGTCACTGTTTCGACCCTCCTTAAATTGATGCTCCTCGTGCATTCAGATCGGAGGAATCCCGATCTCGATCTCGATCTCGACCGCTCTCGTCTACCCCTCCGTCTCCCCCTCCGCTTCCGCCTCTTCGTGTTCAGATGGTAAGAAGTCTCTCCTCCCCTCTAGATCTCGGCCTGTGACATCTTTACCCCTTCGATTCCGAGTGCCGCTAGGGTTCTGATCCTCGGTGTTCCGAGGTCGCCCGTGTGTTCGTTGTTTGCCCCCTCACTCTCCGGATGGTCTCTTCTCAGGCACCGACACCCGTCACGAGCCCGGTTCCGATCCAGTGGTACCCGATGCTCTCCGCGCTGTTTCTCCTCGTTGGTCTCCTCGTCACTGCATCCTTCTTCATGTAAGCCTTCGCGTTCCCTCCCCTCTCTCCCTTTTTTTCATTACATTCGATAGGAAAGCCGCATTCTCCATCACATTTATCAATTTAACCGATCAAAGATTGAACGACATAGTAACATATTGCACGAATATATGTATGCAACCTTCTTCCTCCGAGCATATATTTGCAGACATTAGGGTAATGCTCGTAACATAGCAATGGACTCAAAATTAGAATTTTAGCATGTGGATCATGTGTATGCTTCAAGCTTCTGGTGTGGAGTGCCTAATGAACTTGATCTACATAGGAATATTTGAATTGTTTGACTGCAAGAATTTTTTGGGAGATTTTCTTATTAGATAATTATTTTTGGGAGTTCAATAGTACACAAACACTACAAGCGAGAGGGCTTTATTTGATAAAGTAGTGTTTTTGGTCCGTCCGGAAGCTTGTGAAGCCTCATGTAAGCTCTTTGCAGGGATAAATGTCTCTCCATCTTACTCTGAGCACCTTTTTTATACCATCGCTTTGTTTCGGAGAGATATTAGCATTAGTATCATTGTCAAATTGGCTGCAAGATTTCAGTACCTTTTCTATACCATCGCTATGTTCTGGAGAGATATTAGCATTAGTCTCATGTCAAATGTATAGTTTTGTTTGAACTTACATTTTTCTTTCGGTAGTAGTAGATTGATATTAATACCCCAGTCCAATTAGTCCAACATTGAGTATGGGTGAAGTATCGCTTAGTATATGAATTACATGCAACCTAATCTTGTCTTCTTAGTACTCTTTTATCATGGGGTATAACCCACATGATTTTGGACTTGAGTTGCAAGTCAAATATGGTATTAGAACAACGAGCTTTTTTAATGTGTGGACCATGTTGGGATCTGTTGTTCATTCAGTGATACACTGATCCCCGGCATCATATCATGTTTGGCCTGATGAGAACATGACAATTCGATTTAGTCTCACAACTCGTACCATTAAGCTTTGATCATTACCCATCCTTAAAGAGCACCTTCTGATTATTGTTCCTTTAGGGCAATGCACATGTGGTTTCTAGCTTGGGTTGATAATAGGCTCAAATATTAGTTTTATATTATTGGTTATATATTCAATGTAGCACTCTGAAGAGCTTCAGTGGAATACTATTGCTCAGATGGATTGTTTTCCCTGATATTAAGTATAGACTCGTGCTAGGTTTTCAAACATGTTGCATCGACAATCTGGATTGTTTTGAATCATGTGGAAACATATACAGATGCTTAGATGTATTTATAGATCTGACACAGTAAAAGCGGAAGGATCCATGTGGATTTTCGATAACATACAACTCTACACTATTTTGGTGGTTGAGTTCTTTTCTCTTGCTAATACCATGACCACACATCAGCTACGAAGCTACTTCATCTACCAGGAGCCGCAGCCTGTTGAAGGAGGTTGTGAGTGCCGCCATGGCATCCACTTTCTTGGTAATTAAGAAAAAACAGTGATTTTGTATTTGAGCTATAAACTATCAGCACAGAGCATTAGTCTAATATGTGTCTTCTGCCTGCTGCAGGGTTTTGGATCTCTATTCCTGCTCCTTGCTACCGGTGTTTATGTTTGATTTTAGGTTTGATATATATCCTCCAAATTTGTTGTTCACCAGAACATTCGGACAAGTTCAGCATGATTTAGTCGCATGTATTTGAAACTGAACGCCTAGTTAAAGAGTATTTTAGCACAAAGTAATGCAGCCTGATCGAGTGTAAGAGATTCTTGTGATGATTCTTTTGTTTCTTCTCCAGGTTGGCCAACACAGGCTGTTGTGAACCGACGACAGGTAAAGATGAGACTTACTCTATCAACACATACGCAGTTGCTAGTCAACATTTACTTTAGAATCTTAGAATTCAAATCATTATGTGGAAGTACAATGAAATTGACATGAAGCAGTGGGTGACATCGCTAGTTACCTCCAAGATATGATTTTGATCAGAGTGGGCATCTGAAAATTGTCTCCCTTTTGTCTGCACCATTATGAGAAAAAGGGGGCATCTGAAAATTGTTGGCCTTTTGTCTGCACCATTACGAGGAAAACGATATCAAACTTCTCACGATATCAAACTTCTCACCTCAAACGTAATTAATGTAACCAAAAAAAGAATTTGGTAAGAACGTGATGTACACATCAAAGTTGTACATGTCCGTATGGATAGTCACAAATTAGCAAACAGTATGAAAGCAATCGCGATCCTCTCAACTATATGTAGGGAGATAACAAGAAATGATGCGTGCTTCTATCATACAGATTGGTCGCCAGTGAGTGAGCCCTTCTTGAATATGTCATGCAAAAATTCTTTGGGACAACAAACTAGCACTAGTCATCTTCGTCATCTTCAGGAGGCAATGTCGAGCTGTTTGAGCACATACTGACGTTTTGAAGCTCCATCAGTTTCTCTTTAAGGTCACATGGATCTGAAAGTAAAAAGTCAGTAAGACTTGTTGAGTAAAGAGCACTGTCTACTTATAGCATCTACTTAGAAAGTTTTTTTCTGCAAATCAATGAGAAGAGTGGAAGAATGAAGTTGAAAAGATATATATATATATATATATATGATTAGAGAAAACAAACAAATAAAATCTATCATGTTAAATAAATACTTGAAAACATGAACTTAAATGTTTATGCACCATAAGTAAATTATTTACTGCCAAAAATATCCTACAATTAACTGAAATGCTATTGTTCGACAACCCAATGTGCAAAGAGAAGAATCATACAAAATCTTGATCTAAATCGTCCAAGGAGATAAATAGTCATGAATCTAATTTAGAGTACCTGCATGTATGACAATCAGGAAATCAGTTTTTTTTTTCAAATTTAGAGTAATATAGGCTGACAATACCAAGTGACTATTTTTATTTAAAGGTAAAGCAAAACTCTAATTAGTTTATATACTTACGACAAACTCAAAAAGTATATAATGAATGATCAGGATGCAAGCATACTAAAATTCTGGTTATGCAATATATAAGAATTATCTTTCTTTATAGAATATTCAAAGAACCGAGGGACCTATGTACAAGATCAATGAATTTTGGCATGCATGCATATTACATGTAATCAACTTTGTGATCTGAAAACAAAAAGAAAAATGCTTCCAATTGAGTGTGCAACCATACACAAGGCAGACGTAAAATCTTCCACCATAATTTGACATTATAGATCAAATGCATCCATGGTTTTGCAAACCAGTATTTGATAGCAAATATGCAAATACCACATAGTAAACTCTGACAGCTATACATACCTAAGCATCTCGGGTTGCTCCAGACAGCAATAGATGTTGATGTGCATATAGGTTCACACAAAGCTTTGGTATCTTCATGGTTCACATTCATGGCAAGCATCCATGAACCGATGGTGACATCCTCATTGTTAAACATTCTCAAACTGAAAAAGAAATCAGAATCAACATATCTATATTTTCAGTACAAAAAGATAAATAAAATGATTGAGCAGTCAAATTCCATAAAATAAATGGAAACATTATAGTAGCTGATAGTCACAAGTTATAACCATGAGGCATGCATCATGGAATTGATAAACAAGGGTCCCTAGGGTGCAAAGAGCAAGGTTTTAAGTTTCTTAAAAGAAAAACAAGTTCATCCACTTCAATGCATAATGTAGTCGATCTTGCTGGTCCCTAGATGTGAACAAAATATTCATCCTTCTCTAGGAATTTTAAATATCCTGTAAGGTTTGATACAATTTACATACTAACATAACAGCAAGAAAGCTTCTCTCGGCAGAAGAAAATATTATGAAAATATGCAAGAAAATTTGCTTATTTGTATCATTGCATACATTGGCTACTTAATCTGAATGCACAAAGGCAACCATCATATAATCATAAAAGGATATTTTAGGTTACGAAGGATAGGCTGCTGACAACTACCTGGGAAAAAAAAGTCCTTATAAATTTGAGATTTTCTGGACAAGAGAAATGCCTAAACCACAAGGAAAAAACAATAATTTCTAGGACTCCACTACTATCATCAAACATGTCTTTGCCACAGCTTAGTATAAATACAAGCAAGATAAGTTTGCCTCCAAGCGACAGTTGCAAGTGCCTAGTACAGACACCCAATACGAATAAATCACAAGAATTTAAGTAACATCTAATGTAGTAAAGTTGCCAATAGAGTCGTACAGCATAAAATGACAGATTCTTGTCAAGCTAAGTCTCTGTGGTTTTTTACTTCTCAGCCTTATTTGGTTTACCCTTTAACCCATCTTGTGTTCTCACGTAAATGGATACACAATGTAAATTGCTAGACAAGATGCTATGTGCACTGTGATTTAACTTTTCTGGTAAATTTGTTTAATTATCAATGAATAAAAAGCTAATGAATTCACCAGCTGAGATAATAATTGTATTTGTATATGCTCTCTTTAATTTGTTCAGCAAATTAAGTGAACATACAGGCCAGCTCCATATGCATATGAACAAATTTAGCTAAAACAAAGTCTACATAATTGAGGAAATAGCATATCTATTTTGGCAAGGGATATATACGCCACAACAAAGTATGCAATGATGATTGATTTACTTATTATCTGAATCCTCAAAAAAGCAGCATTGATGGAAATTTTTACCAGGCCACTGGATTTTGGATTTTGGATTTTTAAGTCTTGCCCCTTGGTTTTGGAAGTGGAAATATTAACTTCTGATCCTCAATGGATGGTTGCAATCACAAACACATATAACAAAAAGAAGCATGAAGAATTATAACATTGATGAAGCTTCCAACTAAGGCCCTCAAAAAAGCCATATTAGTGGGTTAAACTTTCTGGCAATTTTTAAATATGTATAAATTTCAAGATCCTAACATTTGTAACAACAGTATGAATTTAAACCAATAAATGATTAGCATCACCTGAAAAATTATAAGTATTGGTTTCTTTTATTACATTGTGCAAACATAAAGCAGAAAACTAATAACAGAAAATTAATTAATGATGTTTATCAAGAAAAGAATGGTCTTTTTTCTTAGACAAAACTTCACGATAACGGATTAGTGAAACACAAAAATTAAAGAAGGCAAAATATGATATGACTGACCTATCATTTCTTGCACTTGCCAAAGCAGCTACAATATCAGCAGAAAGAGCATATATCGGACCATGTGCATGTAGAAAGTACTCATTCCCAATCAAATGGCCTGAACTTTCAAACCTGCGATTATTATAAACAAAGTGCATTGAGGGGGGTACAGAAACATGGACTATTGCATAATACTAAAATGATGAAAACATAAAGAATTATTCTTCATTTACATTTACCATTTCATATTTCGGTCAGTGATAACTGGGCCTTTCTTCATGCAACCAATGTAAGTAAGACGATGTGCTCGATCCTTAGCAAGAAGAGTGGCAAGTCGATCTAATGAATATAAAATGAACAGGTTATATTAGACGAACATTTTCAGTAATACTCAAAACAGTCTAATTTACCTGGCCGCAAATAAATATCATCATCAGCTTTCACATAAAAGTCTGCATCAAAAAGGTTGAAAGCTGCTTTGAAAAATGCTACCCTAGAAAAAGAAACAGGATTAAAGATCACACTTTGTTGTAACAATAAAAATATACCAAAGATCACTGGCTCTCACGTCTTATAGGGCAACTTATAGTTATCTTCATCAGCATCTACAAACATGAAGTCATTGTGCGTCTCTACTTCTTTCTGCAGCACTGCCTTTTTCTTTGGATCCTTTGTCTGCCCAATCACAAATCTAAAAACCAGTCCAGTAGCATGATCCAAACTGCCAAAAGACATCATAAGTAATATATCCACGATACATACATACATCAGAGTTACAAAATTAAGGATGATAGCAGTAGTGGTCCACAATACAAAAGCCGTGTATAGAAGTGTTAGGACATTATATCTCCTAAATTTTCTGCCAATGACTGAATTTTGTGACATAAAGCATTATGTGATTAAGGTCATTGGATATATTATATATGGTTCCCCTAAATTCATATAAGGCATTCATTGCAAATTGGGAGCAGTTCTCCACAAAATTTGATGCAGGAGCCAGTTGATTTTGTTGGTTGTTTTTGTATTATTCTATTATTCAGGGTTTCTTTTGCAATTGTAATTAGTCATCATGTAACAGCATCCTATATGTTTCTATGCCAGTTGCCACTTTTGGCAAAGATTAAAAAAAGGAAGCTAAGCTAAAAATAAAATATGATTGAAAAGATATGACTGATTGTATATGTTTTTGAAGGAAGAAAACTAACCCCAATTGCAGATCTTATATTAAGGAAGATCATCTCTTATATACTATTCATGATCAATGATATATTTTACTTGATAGAAATATATGCACCATGTGTACCTCAAGTTGATGCGAAATAACTAGGGTGCATTAGTGATAGCTTTGCTCTATACAAGAAATTATATAAGCTAATCATGACAAAGGTAAACAGCAGACAAACATCAGTAAAGACTCGTAAGTCTTTATATGCAAACGGGAAAATCTTATTGATAATATATACTTGAAATTTATCTAAGCAGGACAACTTACTGCAAATATATTCATTTGTTTTCAACAGAAAATATTATTTCTTGTGTCTTTCTACATGGCAATCACTTGTCGTTTTGTTAGGCCTCAAATCATCAAATGTGATCATTGATTTTTCATAATTGATTTCCATGTCTACGAAAGATATCCATTCCCTGATGGATGCTTATTTAAGAACAAAAGTCCGAACTCAGAAGGTCAGTGAAATTGTTCGTTCAAAGAGACAATCAATTTCAAGACATGCAAGGACTACACCAAAATTAATCTCTCTTTGTTTCCTTTTCATTCGACACTTGTTACGAGATATCTCAATGGCCTTTCTTGCCTCACATCGTCAAAAACTCATCTTCAAGAAGCAGTGTCTACCAGCAACAACAATTCCAGTTAAAGCACCGTAGAAAAACCCATCTAAACCTTCTTTTCTTGATCTACATTTAGATCTAGTATTCCATCGGCTCAAGATTCAAGATCGTAAAATATCCTTAGACCTCAAAATACTCTATCCTTAACCACATGTAAACCTGGTGGTCTATCAGCTCAAAATTCAAGATCACAGCTTAGATATCGAGTAAAGAGGCACAAACGATCGGATCAGAAACAGATCTCACCGAGACAAGGCGTCAGGATCACGAGGGAACCAGGTATCCCGAAGCGCAGCCCGACGATCGGAGGAAGAGAACCCTGTGAGGACCCCGACGACCCCAATCACCTTGGGCCTCGCCGCCACGCCCTCCTCGGGCCGGCCGGTGGCGGCGAGGGACTTGGATCGGAAGGTGCGGAGGGTGTCCTCGGCGCGGCCGCAGCGGAAGACGGTGACGATGCGCGGGGGTCGGCGGATGGCGGCGGCGGCGAACGCGATCCCAGCGATGCCGACGATGAGACAGACGGCGGAGAGGATGACCAGTATGAGGAGGGCGCGGCGGGGTGGGTGCGGCGAGGACGGGGTTAGGAAGGGGGAGGGCCTGGGCGGCGGCTTCCTCCTCTTCTTGATGAGCTCTTCGTCGTCATCGTCGTCGAAATAGGGACTGGAGTGGTGGTACTGTGGCATCACTGTGATTAACCAATAACCAAAGAGAGAGGGAGAGCTGTAGTGTGTCCGCGAGCGAGAGAGAGAGAGAGAGAGAAGTGGCTGCTGGTAATAAGGCGGAGTCGAGTCTTCTCTACGCATCACACATTGGACTTCGGACCGAATTCAGGTGGCAAGTTCGGGCGGGTGAATCGCAGTTGACGGAGTCGATCCGACCCGACCACGTCGACCGACCTTCTCTGCTTGAGGTCCGAATTAAGAAGAAATATATAAAAATTATTATCAGAATTTAAAAAAATTAATGATTTTTTTCTTGATCAAATTCAAACTGTTTTAAATACATGATTGAACTATCTGATTTCACCAATTAATGATAGAAAGAAAAAATATATTATCAAAATCCAATTTGCAAACTAAATTAAAACTGTTTATTTGAAATCTCACGGCACAGAAAAACTAAGTGGTATACATGTAAGGATTAAATTTATACTTATAATGTCCTTATATGGATTACTGAATTGAGATTATTGAATTCAAGTGTGAGGTCTTTAAAATGTTGTTTGGCATGGTTTGTCAAATCATGCAGATGTTTTGACTGGTGATACAATGATCCTTACAACAGTTTTGATGAACCTGAAAACCGACTTTTACATTGAGATTAATCAACAGTTTAAATAAGTATTACCATTACCCTCTAAATTGGAGTGAAACTGGAATCATTTTTGCAATCAGATAGATAATAATACTCTTTGCTAGCTAAAAGAGGATATTCTGATTCTGTCTGATTACAAAAATGCTACCATAAGTGTGATGCTAGCATGATAGTAACATCACACTTACGAGTGAATTGCATAGCCCTATTTCATTTTCTAATTTTGTTTGAATGATGCCTCCCTAAAGGTGTATGGATCTTGATAGGTGTTTTACTCTTATACTATCATACAATTGCGACAGCAACAATTAATTCATGATTACAAAATATTATTGGTATCATAAACTAATTCCTGCTATCACAATTGTACACTACTAGCATAAGAGTAAAACATCAAGATCCAATTCACTAAAATGCTGCATGCGACTTCTGTTCTTGTATGGCAGAATGCAAAGTGTTATTCAGGGTTATGGAGGTACGAGGAAGCCTGAATTTGATCAGGGGGGATATCTTATGTTTCTCCATGCCTTTGATGATCATCCATTATTTCCTACACTCAGAAATGCCTGAAAAGTTAGGGAAAAAGAATCCAATTTGAGCTTACCTGTATCATTGGATAGATACAATCTTTTTTGTGCATCTATATTGTGTTGCCTCAATTTAAAATAACCATTCCCTCGATTTTTATATATCCTCAAATCTGGAAATTTCTCTGAATCAGGATGCAACCATCTCGGGCTTGAACTCTGTAAAGAAAACTTGGCTAAACTCTGCCACAGCAAGAGACCAATCTGCTATTTATTGGTCAAGCACATCAGATAATGTTCCTCATTTCAGTGCCTTTTCCGCGTCATCGGGCCATTGGGTAAGCCCTGTCAGTGAGCTTGCTGGGACAAACACTGCCAGTTCCTTGCTATCCAGGATCCATGTCATAAGATGTACCAGGAAGAATAGTTTCTTTTGCACACGATGCAACCATCAGGCACAACAGGACAGGAGACGTCCAACATCGCCAATCTTGTTTAGCTCCTAGCTGACAAAATGTTCCCTGGTTCCAATCGAAGGATGAACAATAGGTTCAGGCTTGTTGTCACGTAGAAAAGCAAGTCCCCGGGTTATGTTCAAAAAGAATTTGGTATCAGATAATTCATAGAAGTTGAGTCTTTGTCATTCCAAATGAATATTTGATCTTCTAGGCGTCATGTAACAGTATACAATATGACAATAATCCAGGCAGCCGCAACAATAAACATGTTACATGACAAAGTTGGCTAAGAATTTTGAACCTGCACAAAATTGAAATTGGTTAGATTTCTCTTCCTCTACAGTGGATTGATGGGGCAAGGAATGGCCAATAACACTAAAATCAAATTGACAGTGTGTTAGTTAAAATAAAGAGTGGAGAATATCCAACAAAGTTTCAAACTAAAAAAAGGAAAAATAATTTAAGCTTAAACTTACCTCTCTAGTAAACTTCCTCTTTCTTGTTCCATGCATCTTGTCAGAGAACCTTGACATCTACAGAGGTCTGATCAAGATTGCACTTGTATACATTACTAGAATTTCACTCACTTATCTTATTGGCTTAGAAAATTTATCAGTGGCAAACTCTAATTTGTGCTGCACCATTTGCCATTTAAGAAAAGCATCTTATTTCTCAGATGACACCTTGCCTGATACAACTGTTTTATGAGTATCCAGGACCTCTTTCAGAAGCAATTGCTTCACTTTATCAGCTTTGTTGATTGTTTCCAAATGTTTGCCGTTTCTTCTGCAGCAATTCTTTTTAACTTTTTTACCCTCTTTAGTGCATCCTTCACTTTGTTTTCTACTCAAGGCCAGAAGAAGTAATTGGACCTGTAAAAAGCTAAAACATGTATAAGAAAACTAGGGAAGTTCAGGCAGATCAGCAAGAAAACAGGCACATGCAAGTGGAAAAGTACATCCTGCATGGGTCACCAGGGAAAAGAAATTATGAACTAATGGAAAAGGCATAATGAAGGAAAAAGACTATTCCTGACAATGATAAACCATAATGTCCCAACCATAGGTCTTCAACTGCCTCACTAGCTAATCCAATAGCAAACAAATAAGCACATATGCTAATCCCAACTTGAATATACATAGCTAGAACCATTTTCTTCACATGAACCAGATTGCCATAGCAAAAGTTTTCTGCATCTTGTTCCTCAAATCCAGTACTTCAGTTGATTATTGATCCTGAAGAGTAGTTTAGGATCAATCCATCTTATTATCTGTCGTACATGCATTCAAAAACAAGCACGTACATGCATGAGTGCAAGCATGCGTACACACACCCACACATGCTCACACGAGCACAAGACACTCTCATACACACCATGCACACTCAAGCACACGCGCGCACACACAGTAGAGGTCTTCAGACGGTGTCAGTATATCATAGTTTGTGTTTTCGAACTTCTAGGACTCATTGTTTGGTTATTTTCCTCACATCTTCAACCATACTAATTCAATCTACAGTATATCCTTCCTATGTTTTTGAACTTCTAGGACTCCATTATTTGGTTCTCCTCCCTCACGTCATCAACCATACTAATTGAATCTTACATCTTCCGCCTACCTGTTGCCGGTCTACATGCAATTATAATTATGTGAGTGGTGATAATTGTAATTTGAATAAGATGATGTTGGATTCAGGCATATCAATGCACAATAAATGCTGGCATCTATTTTCAACAAACAAAGAAAAGGAGCTTACTTTCCATGTTGTTTCACAGTGTGATTTCAGATCACGAACTTGAATAATAGGAGGCTGCAATTCAAGGCCTTGCACATCTCAGAATTTCTGCAGGTCAAAATTTCCATTGATTGTCAAAGAATTTGTTCAACGTGATGCCATGTACTTTCCTTAAGTCAGTTATTGAAAGTCTATGGAAAAAGGTGAGACCTATAACAGGTGATGAAGCGCATCAGGTTTGCTTGGTCTTGCCACTATGAAGAGTGAGGTTTCCTTCTGGTTTGCAACCTTTCCATCAATTTGTTATAGGTTGCAATGTTTGGTATAAATCCAGCATCCAGCATCTCATTGACAACACATTCACCCTCTCTTTTTCTCCCCTCTCTTGAGAATCCATGAGCCAGTATGCTGAGCATCACACTGTCAGGCTTTAAACCCTTTTTTGATGCCAAGACTCTCAATCGGTTTGCATCCAAAGTCCTTCCAACATCACAAAGTGTTTCCAAAAGAGTGTTGCAGGTAATGGTGTCAGGAACCATCCCTTCCTGCAGCATTCTTTCCATCAAACCATACGCTTCATCTATCTTGCCTGAGCTTCTCAATCCCTCGATTAAAGTAGTGCAGGTCACGTTGCTCGAAAATTTGCCCTCCTTCCACAAAGAATATACCACTTCCAAGGCTCTTTCTGAACTTCTCTTGTTACACAGTGCCTCGACCAAATGAAAGCAATCAAACCCCTGAGGAACAGCTCCTTTCTTCAATAATTCCATCAAAAGCTGACTTGCTTCCTCAGTTTTGCCCTCTCTACAAAGACCATTCAGAAGAATCTCACAAGTAGCAACCGAAAACCCACAACCCAGATCAAGCATCTCCCTAGCAACCCCAATTCCCTCTTTAAATCTCTTCTGCGTGAAGAAGCCTTTTATGAGAGTATTGAAACTGACCACGTTCGGCTCGCATCCCCTCGCCCTCATCTCTCGGAACCAATCCAGTGCCGAATCGAGGTCCGAGCATCGGAGGCAGCTGCTGATCAAGATGTTGAAGGTGAAAGAGTCCGGCTTGACACGATCCTTGAGCATTGTCTTATACAAGTCGACGGCTTTCTGATGCTCCCGCTGCCGAGCGAAGCCGTTGATCAGGGCGTTGTAGAGCGCGGTGCTGGGGCGGCCGTCGACGGACTTCCGGGCGTCTTCGAAGGCGGAGATGGCATCGTTGAGGTGGCCGGCGCGGCAGAAGGCGTGGATGGCGAAGCGGAAGGTGGGCTCGAGGCGAGGGCAGGCGAAAATGCCATCGGCGCAGGGGCAGGGGTGGGCGACCATATGCCCAAGGAGGAGACGCAAGGGACCGAGCCGGTCAGTGACGGCGAGGGTGCGCGTCATCCACTCGTAGGTTGAGTGGTCGTGGCGGAAGGAGTCGACGCCGGCGGCCCAGAGGAACACGTGGAGGTCGTAGGGGGCGTAGGCGGGGTGATGGCGGATGCGGCGGCGCAGGAGGCGGAGGAGTTCGGCGGGGGTGAAGGAGGGCTGAAGCTGGGACTCCAAGAAGCGGGCAAGGCGGGACGGGGCGATGGCAGCGGAGAGGGAGAGCGTCGGTAGAGGAACTACGGAGGCGACGGCGGAGGGGGAGGAGGGGTCGAAGACGGAGGAGAGATCGAAGAGCGCGGCACGATTGGGGCTTGGATTACGGTCCGGGTTTTGGCGTAGAGCGGCGAGGGCGGAGACGGAAGGGAGGGACTTGGAGAGCCGCCTCGAAGCCATGGGAAAAGGGCCTCCTCTGCCGCGCAATAATTTCCATACGATGGTAATGATCCATGACCCACTTGCTTTGAGATGCGTGCCGCTGATCGGTTTAGTATTTGGCCGAGTTTGGGGATATTCCAATGGGTTCGGATCCGGGTTAACGGATCTGAAGCGTGTCGAAACCTATTTCCTCGGATAACAAGTGGAGAAGTTACTATACTGCATTCGGTAGAAAACTTGTCGGATTCAGGTGTGCAGGCGACAAGGATCCGTCACGTCCCCACACGGACCACACCGCCTACACACCACCCAAACCACGTGGGTCACCATGACCACCATGTGCCCTCCCGAGGCCTTCCGAACCATGCATGGTTATCGCTGGAGGCCGTCTCCTTCCTCGCATCGCTCTATAAATTCCACAGTACAAGGCTGATATGAGAAGCATGGAGTTCGAGATGGTCATGGAGAACGTCCACCTGATGGCCATCATCCCATCCTGATGGACTTCTCGGAGGAGGTGGAGAAGGTGGCCAGTGCCCCTGCCCGCGCCAACGTCCGCGACCGCAGGGCCATGGCTTCCACCCCGGCCGACGTCAAGGAGGTCCCCGGTGCGCTGGTGTTTGAGATCGACATGCCCGGGGCCAAGTCAGGCAAGATGAAGGTCCAGGTGGAGGACGACAACACCCTGGTCATCAGCGGGCGGCGGCGCCGAGCGAGGAGCAAGGAAGCCAAGTACCAGCGCATGGAGCGGCGGATGGGCAAGTTCGTGCGCAAGTTCCCGTTGCCAGAGGACGCTGACCTCGACGCCATCACGGCGGCGCTCCAGGACGGCGTGCTCGCCGTCAGGGTGGGGAAGAAGCCGCCACCGGAGCCGAAGACCATCGAGGTCAAGGTTGGTGGGCCGTCCTGGCTTAAGACGCCGCATGGATAACTTGCAGTGTATCAAAAAGGAGAAGAGGTGTTATAAATGGTGTGACGATGTGGACACTCTTTTTTTGTGTGTTTTTTTGGTGTATATGTGCATGGATATCGAGAAACCAAACAAAATCCAGATGCCAATGCGACACTTGCCGGATTTCTGCACATTGACACAGATGCTTGCCTGAATACAATATATAAAGAGAGAGATGGTAATTGTCTGTGTTTCTACGAGAATGAAACAATTATACAACTAAAGCAAAATCCCGAGAGAGAGAGGGAGAGAGAGAGAGAGAGAGTACATGGATTTATTTCCATCTTAGAGGCTTTCAACGCTTGCAGTTTGCACGCTTCCTAGAGAAGTTCTTTCCGTTTCGATGACCAAAAATCTCTAATAACATGATGCAAACATATGATTGTTTCAAGAGCTGATTGGTGGATCTTTAACAATCAATTGTTAGAAACTTTAACAATTAAATATGGATCAAACAAATGTTTTATAGAACCAACAAATCGATAATGCTTTATAGATCCAAAATAAGATTTTAAAATATTTTTTATAAAATATTTTAAATCCACAATAATATGCATAAAATCCGACAATTAAGAAACATATTAATACGAAAATGATGAATCCATTAGAGTATTTTCTAAATTAATCAGTGATTTGGTCGCATAGTATCCATAAGAACTTTAGATTTTTTTTTAACGGGTGAAGAAAAACTTCATTCGATACTGTAACGGGGACCATAACCCTATTTATATTCATAACCGATGAATATACAATTATGATTATATTCATAATTGATGAATCTACAATTATGCCTCAAGAGTTTCATATTCCTAATTTATTTTATCGTATCCACACAATTAATTTCCATAATAATTATGTCCATTTGTCAAATAACTTTATTTTAATTAGATCACTTTAATTTTGGCTAATCAAAATAATAGCTTAACACATTTAATTATACATATGTGACTCTTAAAATTCTAACCATCTCCACTGGATTACATATGTATCCTTATAAATATGTTATACTTGATGAGCTCAAAACTATTATCATTATTAAACATGACATAATCTCATCTATTAGTCATATTAGTATCGGACCAGAGTGGTCTTCGCTATATCAATCATAGCTAAACTCATCAATGATCATTAATATTAACATAACCAAATGAAATAGATCAATTATGAAATATGTAGCATGAAAATTACATGAATGTGAATGTGATATATACATATCGATTTTTAACTGGTTTAACTTTATCTTTATGATATCATTAATAATTTTAATAGTCATAATATATAAAGTATAATAAACTAAAGCTTTATTTCTATTCAGAAAATATATGTACAAATATAGGATCTAGCATAGAACATACAATAAACATATAACAGACTCCCACTAAACTGAAGTTTTTTCAAATTCTGATATACTCATATGAGCAATATGCTCATGAAAGACCTTAGGTGATACATCTTTTGTGAGAGGATCTGCCAACATAAAGTTTGTTCATAAGTGTTCTATAGAAATTTATTTATTTTGTACAATTTCTTTCATAACTAGAAACTTGATGCCATATAATACAACAGGTTTAACCTCGTTGATCAATCATAACTGGATTGATAAAAAAGGATAGATCAAGTACATGATGAATATGTTAAAAATTTACACTATAACAATGATAAAATTATAAGTTTTAATTATTTGTAATCGATTATATAAATATTTTATCATTTTAAAGATTTATAAATATATAACAAAAAATATATAATGTTAAAAATCCCTATCATCATAATAAAGTTTTTAGAGGATATTTATGTCGGTTAAATTTAAATATCTCTGCTCTAATGTGTGCGTGTGTGTGAAGGTATTGATGGGCGAAATGTTTGACCATTGACCAATCTTCTTAATTGACATGTTGACTCTTTTGTGACATTAAAAAGTTGTCGGGGAGCCATCCCTGATCAGACGGTCAGGAACGACGGCTCATCTGATGCTGGACGTGGGCCCACAGCACAGATCACGCTGGTTAATTGAGATCGAACGCGGCGTCCATCATGGCTGCGCGCGCATCTGAAAGCACCGCGTCCATAGCTTTAGTGTGGCCCAACCATGCAATATCATCATGACCGACTTGAGCGACTAATCAACACAGTACGGTAAAGTCGACGGCAAAGATTCTTCCACGTGGACGCTATCATGGCCTCGGTCTCAGAAATCCCGATAAATATGATTGAGGGGTTGGCGACGAAGGCAAGGCAATGGATTGCAGTACTCGGCTCCAGCGGCAGCGATCCTGCGCATGCCCACCTCTCGACATCGTCTTACGGTGCGGCAGCCTCCGGAGCACCGCCGCTGGGTTCACCCGTATTTCGGGCGATGAATGGGACGACGATTCTGCCGCGCCAACCCGCCGGTCGTCCTGGTCCACTGCCGGCACGAGGCTGCGCGGTCTGTGGCGGAGGATCACGAGGGAGAAGAGGAAGGTCTTCAACCCGGCGCCGGCCGCTTATGATCCGTTCACCTACGCTCAGAACTTTGACGAAGGGTGGGCGGCAGAGGAGGAGCCGGAGAACTTGTCCCGGTCCTTCTCGGCGAGGTTCGCCAGCCCCTCCGGGGTCCTGCAGAGAACAAGATGGTAAGAATCTTGTGGGGTTTGTTTGCATTCATATGCTAAGAAGTCCAACATCAATGATTCATGCCATCTCTCTCTCTCTCTCTCTCTCTCTCTCTCTCTCTCCCCACAGGAGACGCTCAAGATTACAACGCTAAAGATCAAATTGGGAAATAAGCAAAAATTTGATGCAGAAAAGAGGATTTCTTTTCGGTGTCTAAAGGACGAAACGGAAGCTATCGAATAGGCTTCTTAACCATGGAACAATACATCCAGATGAAGTAGTAAGCTTAAGATTCATATCATTCTTAACCAAAAAGCTTTCCATACTTAAGTGATGGGGTACAACTTAATCATAGACATATCCCTTCGATAAGTGGGATATTTTATTTAAGTGAAATATTTTATTGTTCCTTTGTATCATGAAAAGAAGTTGTTTGTTGACGTCTTGATTAATTCGACGTGATCCGAACCCATATACACATAGTTGTTTGAGGTAAAAACATCGAGCTCATGAGATGTCACTCGCATAAAGATCGATGTTAGAAAAGGTTTTTCGATCTAATTCTTCTAATGCCCAAATTAGTAACCTAAGATAGGTAAGTCTGAACGTGAGTTATCAAAAAATAATTCTCTGTTTTCCCTTGTGTTGATGATAAACTTTTATACCTGATCGTAAGGGGATGAAATATTATATGGAGAGATATCTTTAACTACCTCTAGCAACCTTCCGTTGCCTTTTAATCTATGTGGGCAATAGGGGGTGGACAAGCTATATTCGTTTGCCTTTGACCCTTATCCATATGAATAAACAGACAAATGATAGCCTTTGTCTTCTCTTTCTACATTGGACACCATGTGAAGACCATGTATTTGATGAGGATTAGTTGACGATGCTCTCCCTATCATTTATTCCCCCCACCCTCCCAAAGTATACTACGATGACTCTCGCAAGAAGGATATGAAGTGCGAAGCCTAGTTCACTTGGCACATTAAGTTTATGACTCATTGATCAGTTCTCTGATTTTGTGCATTATGCAAACGCTAATAAGATCGAGAGGTGCCGAATCTGCACCTTGAATCGATAACCTCAGCTCCTCGAGCAAAGGAGAGGATCGAGTTTTCCCTACCTCCCTATCTCAATGAGGACCATAAGTAAGGGGAGCGATCACTGCTAGTGATAGTCTATCGTCGACCCGCCCACCTTCTTTTGCTCGTCATTGAGGCAAGCTATGAAAGGAGCCAAGGTAGACTACAGATGGTGCAGTGGGCTCCTATTTTGTTCATCCCTAAGGGGCTCACATCATGCAACAGGTCCATAGTGAGGATGTTGCAAAACCCCTCATCGCTAACCTACCACTCTACTTTTGCTCGGCATCGAGGTAGGCTGCAAAAGGAGCTGAGGTAGGTTGTAAGCAGTGTAGTGATGGGCTCCTCTTCTACTTGTCCCTAAGGGACCCATGTCGAGCAACAGGTCCACAGTGGGAATGTTATGAGGCTCCCCATCATTGACCTACCTCTTTTCCTCTTCTTACCGTCAAGGTTGGCTACTAGAGGAGTTGAGATAGGCTGCATGCGGTGTCGTGGTGCGCTCCTCCTCTACTCAGGAATCACATCATGTAGTGGGTCTATAGCGGGGTTGCTACGAAGCCCTTTGTCATTGCCCTACCCCTCTTCTTTAACTTGTTGTGAAGCGGGTTGCTAGAGGAGGGCTACATGCAGTGTGGATGTGGGCTCCTCCTCTACTCATCCTTAAGGCACTCATGTCCAACAATAAATTCACAATAAGGATGCTACAAATTTTCCCATCGCCGATATGCCCCTCCCATCGCAAAGGGACCCACCTCGGGTGGAGGAGGGTTAACCTCACTTGATGTGCCCATATTTTTTTTATAGTCTTTAGGCCAATAGGTTATATTGGGTAGTGGCCTACCCACGTTGAGTAAATGATGGGGTCAACACTCGACCTCCCCACTTCAGACATTTTTTTCCCTTGTGTCTCCTGTCAGATCAAATTTTCTCGACTTATGTGTTATGGATACTAGTTACATGTGTCTTACAAGTCAATCACGTGAGTAATAATATGTGTAATATGTTGCATAATCTTTTTTAGTTAATGTTGATAATGATATTTTCTTACTTTATATTATATAATAAATATATTATAATTTTTTTGAATATATGTAATGAGAATTAGATCATGATGAGATCATGAGACTAATTTACATTTAAACACATATCTTAAATATTTCTGGCCATAGGTTATTCGAGAAGGACATCGAGATAATTGGACAGATCAGTGTACTATATACTCATCCATATGATTGAAGCAGCTAGTCTAAAATCTAGGGGCAACATCACATACGTAGTAAAAGAATAAAAATAAAAATCATAGATTTCTACAAAACGGTTTCATCGTCGTGTGAAGATTGGTGCACAAAAATCGTAAAATAAAAAACCACGCATATAATAAGAATATGTTACATAGGGAGATCGTATATCCCTGAATTCCTATAGATTTGTAAGAGATGATGAAAGAGGTGTCCTGTATGCCAATCACATGAGTGATCGCACATGTGAGACACACAATTTTTTTGCTTATTATTATTATGATATTTTCTCACTTTATATTGCTTGTTGCATAAATATATTGTGATGTTCATCGATTTGTGCAATGAGAATCAGATCATGATGAGATCACGATAATGAGACTGATTCACCTTTAAACACATACCTCAAATAGTATTGGTCATAGGTTACTCGAGAGGGACATTGAGATAACCAGATAGACTAGTGTGCTTTATACCCATCCATATAATTGAGGCAACTAGTCTCATAGTTGCTTGTGTGGGGATACTAAGGTTATAATGCATGTGCTCATTGGAGAATGAGTTTACTAATTGATCCGCTCATGAAATGTTTGATGGTTGATAATACCTCATTATTAAATAGTGATTCCGTCATCCTAGTAGTGTACATAGTCCTTAGACTTGAGATACCAATGATGTCTAGTATAAATACTCCACTCTTTGATACCAGACTTATAGGTTTGGAAGTTCTAAATCTAACACAACCAATCATCGGGAGTGACAGCCAACCTTACAATAGCTATTGAGTGTCGATAAAGGATCATTCCCTCTTAGTATCATAAGAGGAATATTCTATGTAGTCTTGCTCAGACAAATCATTGGTCAAGGTAATTCGAATTAAGAGAGAAAGAGTTCTCCGGGAGAATCCGAGTAGAGTGAGTCTTGAGGAAAAACCGTATGAGTTTGACAACACCATGCCCGGTACACGGTCTTTGTGATATTAGATGAATGAGAGACTATAGATACACGATAACTGATGACATACATGTTTAAATGATTGAATTCCCCTATATCATCTAGGGACTATGACGCAGTAGCCTAGTACATCCGCAGTCAATGAGTCGAGTGAATTATTATTGAAATAGTAATTCATTAAGCCAAAAAGAGTTTTGACAGGTTTGACTTATGACCAGCTCGATATTGAGCCTAGAGGGTCACACGCATATGGTAGATGTTGCGACTAGTAGATGTTTGGATGTGAGATATCCGCCAGAGCCCCTATCTTATTGGATATCCATTAAGCCCTTGAATTATTAGATCATATAGATGAGATCTAATAAGAGCTAATAAGCCCTTGAATTATTAGGTAGAGACTCACTAATCTGTGAGGTTTTGGTAATTGGATAGAGATTTAATACCCAATATGGTATGATCAATTATGATTAAATCGACAAGGGACCTCTATAAATAGGAGGGAACTAAAGGGCCATATGCCAGGCCTTTTTGGCTACCACCTCCTATTCTTCTTTTCTCCTTCTCAGCTAGTAGGTATAGAGATTTCAACAGCGATTTGAGTAACGTCTTCGCAGCCCCTACCGTGTGGATCACTACTAGAGAGGATGGTGCTTAACCTCCTTCATCCTCCCCACAGATATGTAGGAATTCAGGGATATATGATCTCTCTATGTAACACAACTATCTCATATGTTGTTTTCAATTTTGTGGGTTTTTGTACACCAATCTTCGCACGACGATGAATACTTATTTGGGAAATCTGAGATTTTATTTTTTGTTCTTTCTTGCACATGTGATGTCGCCCCTAGATTTCCATACAAACGTAGCCTTTAATAACTTCTAATAACCTTCCTTTGGCTTTTTATCCATGTTGGTGATAAAAAGGAGGGATAACATATAACTGTTTTTCTTATTTTTTTATTCATGTGGACAGATAGATGGAGGATGGTTTTTATTTCTCCTTTCAACCTAGATACTATACAAAAGGTCATGTATTGAATGAAGATTGATTGGTGATGCTCTCCCTATCATTTTGATTATTGGGATGAAATCACTTTTAATTATCTATATATTTGTTTATTCGTTATGGTACAAACGGCTAATTAAATTATTTAAGGAGTTAGGAAAGAAAGTAATATAATTTAATTATTAAGCATTCGATCTCTATCACAAAAATATTGTTATATAGGAAGATTTAAAAAGAATTTAGAATAGTCATTTACGAGAGAAAATATTCTTGATATTTTGTTAGTCATTCGGACTCGTATAAACATAGGGTTATCTAAGATATTTTCGAGATGAAAATGTTGAAATCGCAAGATGTCACAAACTAATACCGAGATAGGTTTCTCGATCATTCTTATGCTCAAATTCATAACCATAATTTTTGAGTGTTTAAATTTTGACCATACCAAATAAAACATGCTGTAACTTTTAACGGTCGTCAAAATTACAAGCTACAACTTCTTTAAACGATAATATCGTGGGTTTACATATAGCCGTGTTCTGTTAAATATCTACTTCAAAGAATAATGTCGACATTTTTCTCGTGGTATACGAGTGAAGAAGGTTCCGGTCACGTCAGTTCGATAGTGGCACGCACCTCTTACGCGACGACTGAAGTTACAAGTAGCTAACGTAGGAAGAGGATATGCGCATTTGGACGCATGCCACATCAGCAACTCGTGTGTTAAGTAGGGCCCCAAAGTGCGTTTCTGTTACCTTGAACGGCCCACTTCTCCGAAGCTCAACACTAACCCAATGTTAGGAGGCCCAACACAGCCCACGGAAATAGCAATCTCCCGATTCTATATGTCCTCGCTCTTGATGGTGTCTCGAGATCCCGTAGAGCCAAAACCATCCTCCTCGTCCCGATCCATTCTCTCCGACGTCTCACCGGATCGCAGCTGTTCCTCCCCTCCCTCCTCACCGATCTCGGCCTTTTCAAACCCTAGCTTTCTAGGGTTCGGGCTCACTGATTCGCAGGTTTACCCCACTTCGCGACTTCGTGCTCCGTCTGCGGTCTAAAGATGGTACGTTCGCTCGAATTTTGTGTTATCGATCGCGGTCTTTCTCGTAGTAATATTAGATCTGGCATGAATCACCTCTGATTCGACTGGAGTAGTTCGATTGGTGGCTTGTTGCTTGGATTTCGTGATTCTCATCGTTAGATGTTTCAATTATCTTGAGATCTGGATTTTCTAAGTCGTGGCTGATGATCCTTCACTTTTCTTTTTGTTGTTTTTTGGTACCTGCGCGAAAATTGCAGCCTCTGAGACTGGAAATCAAGGTAAGTTCGACTGATGCATGTGGAACACTAGTAGATCTTATGTTTGGGCTGACTCGTAATGCCGAGTGCCTGCTACGTTTGATTGGTTTTGTCTTGAATTATGTTTATGGTCATCTGTGGATCAGAGGAAACTTTCTCAAAGGTCGGAAAGGGTGAAATCGGTAGATCTACATCCAACAGAGCCATGGTAAGGATGTATGCGTTATTCTGTGCAACAATCCCTAATGATTATGGATATGGATGATGCAAGTTTCCATATGATCTTATGATATGTGATCCTGCAACATCTTCTTCCTGCAGGATTCTTGCGAGTCTTTATTCTGGTACTGTTTGTATCTGGAACTATCAGTCACAGGCAAGTCACTTGTTCTTGATATGTTGCATTGGTATTTGTATTCTTGTTTGGTGTGATTAACTTTGAAAAACATTCTTTCAGTAGTTCATGATAGTATTTTTACATACTGTACTAACAAGCAGACATGGGATGCTGGCAGTTTATTGTACACATCTTCACCAACATATGGACTGAAATTGTGTGATTAACTTTCAAGATCATGACCTTAATGACGATCTTTGACTGATCCTAAAGTAATTAGGTTTCCACAGAGTTTAGAGAACTCGGTTGATCATTAAGAGTGAAGAAAGTAATGGGACATTATGAGACTGAAGGCACATTCTACATCACATGTGCTGGTCAATTTTGATGTCATTTTGCCCTTAAATTCTGAAATTAATTATACGATATGCATTGTGCATCATTAAAATTTTGGTGTTTGGCTTGATCTGATACAATTTAACTAAGACTTTGTTGATTGCAGACCATGGTAAAATCTTTTGAAGTAACTGAATTACCAGGTAAACTGCTTTTATCTAAACTTTCTTGTTTCTCAGAGTTTTTGCTGTAAATTCTCAACATTTATGTGCTTGAATTTCAGTCCGCTCAGCAAAGTTTATAGCACGCAAGCAGTGGGTTGTGGCTGGTGCAGATGATATGTTTATTCGTGTCTACAATTACAATACTATGGACAAAATCAAAGTATTTGAGGCACATACAGATTACATAAGGTGTGTGGCTGTACATCCTACACTTCCTTGTGTGTTGTCATCATCAGATGACATGTTGATAAAGCTTTGGGACTGGGACAAGGGTTGGATGTGTACCCAAATTTTCGAAGGACACTCTCACTATGTGATGCAAGTGACCTTTAATCCAAAGGACACTAATACTTTCGCAAGTGCCTCCTTGGACCGCACAGTAAAGGTATTGTTCTGAGATCTTTGGTGTTGTAGTGTTAAGTTTTCTGTGGTTTTCCGAGTAACTTACACTGCTTGTTCCAATTTTTCCAGATATGGAATCTTGGTTCTCCTGATCCAAATTTTACTCTAGATGCTCATTCGAAAGGAGTAAACTGTGTTGATTATTTTACTGGTGGTGATAGGCCTTATTTGATTACTGGTTCTGATGATCAAACCGCAAAGGTCTGCCTTGTGCTTTCTGGTGGTCCTTTGTCCATGTTATATTCTGAACTTTTATGTTAATAAGTTTCGTTTAATCAGGTGTGGGATTACCAAACCAAGAGTTGCGTTCAAACACTTGAAGGCCATACACATAATGTTTCAGCTGTTTGTTTCCATCCTGAACTTCCAATAATAATAACAGGTTCAGAGGATGGAACTGTCAGAATATGGCATGCAACTACATATAGGTAAGTGTTATGGACATAGATTTAAACTGCATGTGCATCATTCTCTGTTAAACTTATATGTATTTGCTCTTTTGAACTGTGAAGATTCTTTTTCTTTAGAAACTAACTCCATTTGGGTTTAACTTCTATCTTGAATATTGGAAGTAAATTTATGAATCACTAAAGCAAAAAAAAAAAAATAGAATTTGAATTAGATCAGTCCTATATTTGGAATTATTCCATTATTTGATATTGTTGGTGTGGTCTCCTATAAATCTGATTGACCTCAGGGATACAAGTGGGAGGATTTTTGGTGACCCAATAGTTTTAAATCAGATAAAAGGGAAGGGTTGACTATTAATGTAAATTATGAACTTGAGTGGCCTATTATGAGTAATATGGATGTATGCCCATTCGCATAGGCCACTAGTAGGTGTCTTGAACTGTGATGCAAATTTTTTAGTAAATGATAATAAACTCCTCAGTATTCTCTTCTTCCACGTCTCATGTTGCCATTGTTGGACTGACGATTTTGGAAGACCTTGAAAGTTGAAGGAGCAGAGTCAGACTGCTCAATCAGTAACAAGATCCTTTATTTTTAAAGTTTTGCATAGATTTGTTAAGATAAAAATCTTTGTTACATTTGCTGTCAAACATTTTGTGGTGTATTGGTGATTTGTGAAAGCTGATCGAAAGGATTTATTTAATGTGAATCTTTATATATCTTTATACATTTTATCAGGTCTGGCTGTTTCTATTTTCATAAACTTTTTTGTCTATAGTTTTATAGCATATGTGCCAACTCAAATTTTGTTTCCTAGGAAGTTAAATGGATAAACAATCTATAATTACTTGTTCAACAAACAGTTTTCAGCTAATGATGTTGGGTAGTCAAGATACATAGAATTTTGTATTCGACTGTTTTTCACCCAACGTTTATGGCATGTGCTTTATCTTTGTTTTCTAAAGAAGTATAGCTTTAGTGGTGGAAAACTCATGGACCTAATTCAGTCCTAAATAATTTAATTTGTATGTTAACTTGTTATTGAGTGAGCTTGCACCAATTCATATTCTGTAGTTAGTTGAAATTCTGTTCTTCATTCAGGATCTTTTTCTATACTTTTACAGACTTGAAAATACTCTAAATTACGGTCTGGAACGAGTTTGGGCAGTAGGATACATGAAAGGATCAAGGAGGTATGGACAAACATTGTCTTCTTTTTTAATAATGTAACAATTGTTAGAGTTGCATTTGATACAACATTAATTGGCAATGTGATAGTTAGGAAGTCTTTGCAAGTTTATAAAAGTTCTAGGCGGTTTACTTGAGGATTCAAAATTTTCTCTGGAAAATGTTGTTGTCAGCTCCTGATGAATATTGCTTTTTTTTACTAAATTGTGCATATGGATTATGATTCAGGGTTGTTATAGGATATGACGAAGGAACCATTATGGTGAAGATTGGCCGTGAAATACCAGTTGCTAGTATGGAGAGCAGTGGAAAAATCATATGGGCGAAGCACAATGAGATTCAGACAGTTAATATTAAGACAGTTGGAGCAGATTTTGAGGTTAGGTAGCTCTAGTGTGCTCTTAAAAAAGATATGGAACTTTTGCATAATGTTAAAGGTTATGGAATTCATTCTGTTAACAGGTGACAGATGGCGAAAGGTTACCTTTAGCAGTCAAAGAGTTAGGTAGTTGTGATCTCTACCCTCAAGTGAGTTTAACTAGAAGCAATTGTTTTGCAAATACCTCTTTTTCTTTTCTAATTTGCCATTCAGCAATTTTAGATAAGTGATTTTTGTCAGTTTAATTGGACAAATTCACTCAAAAGAATTCAGAAAAGCTACCAACTTGTAAGAATTACCAGGCAGGAACACTGACTTTGTTGCTTGGATTACATATACAACATATCAAGGAACTTTTTGTTAGTTTTTAAGTCATAGCATTGGTTCGTAGGTTGATTGCTTGTGTATCCTTTGGTACATACTAATCATACTACTGTCCAAATATTCAAATATTTGATGTATCTATGATAAGCATTTTAGTTATGATACCGGTGTTGATATCTTGTAGTAGCGAATGTGAGCTATCAAGTGCATATAGAATTATCATTGGAATCATATGCCACATTGTTTTTTAATACTAGCTTAATTACCCCCATGTGAGATGTGGTCACCACTCACCACCATGCTGAATATTTGTTCTCGATTTTGGGAGTGAAGTCAATTTCTTTCAATAATTGTTGAAATAGTTATGATATTTGTGTGTGTGTGCCCAAGTGGATAATCATGGGATAAGTAGGGTTGGAGTTGCTTGTTGGTTGTTGCAGAACTTTGTTATGCAATGGAGCTACCACTGACATAATGCGTTCAACATGCTTCATGTCTTGGGCTCTTGGAAGTACTTTGCTTACTGGAACCTATATGGCTAAGCTGTACAACTGGTCTGCTTGCTATGTTTCATAGTATATATTGGCACCCAAATCCTTGCTTCATATCCATTTGTTCTGTTTGGTGTTTGCTCTCTTAATTAAATTCCTCTAAGATCGTATGACTTCCAACCTATAAGTAGTGACTTCCCAATAATTTTGACTACTTTAGTTGTGTATTCACCAAGAGATTGAAGCAAAACCTTTTGGCTATTAGTCAATTATCATTGAAATAACCCAAGTGCTATTTCTTCTGCGTTAATCAATGCTTCTTTTAGTAAGGAGATTATCTCTACCAGAACCTGCTCTTGGAATTGCTTAAATAAGTTGATACAATACTCTTTTGAGGATCATGTTTGTCAATTGTAGTTTTTTTACTTGACTTGCTGCTTTCTATTTAAAGTGCATTATAATATTTTTTCTTCTATTTATTCAGAACTTGAAGCATAATCCAAATGGGAGATTTGTTGTCGTTTGTGGAGACGGAGAATACATTATATATACTGCATTGGCATGGAGGAATAGATCATTTGGATCTGCTCTGGAATTTGTCTGGTCCACTGACGGAGAGTATGCGATCAGGGAAAGTACATCGAGAGTCAAGATCTTTAGTAAGACCTTCCAGGTCTGTCCTTTATCTTCACTTTTCTGTTGGCACTTTATAAGTCTTTGCTCTATGGGTATATTTAGTTGCATAGATATGTCCTTTGCTTCAAAATATAGTCAATGATATTCTTATATAATGTAATCATGTCAGATGGAATATGCTTTTTAAGTTCATATAAGTAGGTGTGGATGAAAACAAGTTATATATTAAATCCTATTATTGTTGATCCACAAAAAAATTATGCTTTCTGATTTTAGAATTCTCAATTTGCTGAAATTCTCTTTCTTCTGTTGGTCTCACTTCTAAAGTTCTTATCCACAGAAATGGTTTTTCATGTGTGCAGTACCTGTGCTCTTATCTTATTATGAAGCATGATGCTTTATGGTTTATGATCACCAGAAGACTGAGTTGTCCCTTGATTTCTGATGTTATTTCATCTTTCAGGAGAGAAAAAGTATTCGTCCAACCTTTTCTGCAGAGCATATTTATGGTGGGACACTGTTAGCAATGTGTTCCAATGACTTCATTTGTTTTTATGATTGGTCTGAGTGCAGATTGATACGTCGGATCGATGTCAATGTTAAAGTAAGTTCATGATTTTCTTTTTTGTAGTTTGTTGCCAGGCTTTAAGCAGATTCCTGGAATATTTTTTTTGTTGAGTGTTGCAGAATCTTTATTGGGCTGATAGTGGTGACCTACTGGTTATAGCTAGTGATACATCCTTCTACATTCTGAAGTACAATGTAAGTTGTTTTACGTATTTTTTCCTTTGGCAAATATATCTATCCTTTTACATGTATAAGCAACATAGTTACAGTATATATGTTTGCTGCTTGGTGCTTCACTTTTCTCGTAAACATGCATAAAAAATCATGCCATTTGCATGTTCACTATATTGCTTTTCGCACAGAGAGATATCGTCTCCTCTTACCTAGAAAGTGGAAAACCGGTAGATGACGAAGGTGTTGAAGATGCATTTGAGCTTCTTCATGAAGTAAATGAGCGTGTTCGAACTGGGATATGGGTTGGTGACTGTTTCATTTATAATAATTCTTCTTGGCGACTAAATTACTGCGTTGGTGGAGAGGTACTTAATTCATATTTTCTTATCTTGATATAGATGCATGTATTAATGTATTTTACAGTGTCTATGGTTGTTGGTTTGTCAAATTCAGGTCACCACCATGTTCCATTTGGACCGGCCTATGTACTTGCTGGGATATCTTGCCAGTCAAAGTCGGGTGTATCTTATTGACAAAGAGTTCAAGTGAGTTGTCATCATAGTTGATTGCTGAATATTCCTTTTTTCATAATTTTTATTTATGAATAATTTCTTTCATTTTCAGTGTTATAGGTTACACCTTACTCCTCAGTTTAATCGAGTATAAAACTCTTGTTATGCGTGGGGATTTAGAACGTGCAAGTGAAGTTTTGCCATCAATTCCAAAGGAACATCATAATAGGTACATGTTCCTTAAAAGAGTTTGCAATTCATATTGTGTACCATTGTCTATTCATATATGTGTCAACATATTATTTTATGTTTGTTTTTGGCTGTTAATTGGAAAATTTAATTTGCTAGTGTGGCTCATTTCCTGGAATCTCGGGGCATGCTAGAGGATGCTCTTGAAGTAGCAACAGATCCTAATTACAAATTTGATTTAGCTGTTCAGCTTGGTAGATTGGAGATTGCAAAGGTATACAGACAATGTATAATCATGTAACTATAGGCAGTTCCGACATGCTTGTTCTTTATGTTAGGTCCATCCCAGAGTGATTGTTTAGGTCTACTATTTTTCTTTTTCATTTGAAGGCAAAAGTTTGTTCTGCAGGCGATTGCCATGGAAGTACAAAGTGAGTCAAAGTGGAAGCAGTTGGGGGAATTGGCTATGTCTACCGGGAAAGTAAATCTGTAACCTTTTAGAATTTTGGTTAATTTTTGCCTGCTATTTGAAATTATTATGTGCAGATACATTGAACTATCATGTGCCAACTATTATGCTTTTAATAGTACTCATGTTTTTGTAAATTTATAAGATACACTCAATGAAATATTATGATCATTGTCTAGCCTGCATGTATAGCTAGAGAAGATTATAGGGAAAAATTATTGATTGAAGAAGATCAAATATTACAAGCCTGGAATAATGTGCCAGCAAAGCCATTAATTTCAGTCAGCAGCTGGCATGGTACATGACATAGTTATAGCATGACCAATTGTGATGCTGAGAAGGGGTTTCCTTTGACATAAAAATGATTTTTTTAAATGATTAAAATTATCATTAACAAATATAAATGGGATCCTCTCCAGCAATCTCCCATATTCCCATTATTGGTCCCCAAATATGGTTGTCGGAGCGGCAAGGAGTTAGTTGCAGTCTGATGACAAAGGTCAAGTTGGCCCTATGAATGAGCAGGTTCACAGTACAAGATCCCTTGGGTCTTGATAGTGGGCTGGCTTGATGTTTTTCAGACAGTATATCGAGAAATAATTGAAACTCCAACATCTTTTAAACTAGAGCATTTAGGCCCTATTTGCTTTCAACTATGCTGAAGTTTTACCAATTCCAGTATAGGATACAGTTAACAGTTACACTGGTGCTGAATTTGCGTGTTTGACTTTCAAGTTGTGATATATAGTCACCTTGGCATATTAAGTTTAGAGAAGTTTCATCCCTGGAAATTATTGTGAAGTTCTTTTCCTGAATTATCTGGTGTACTTGTTCAGTTATATTTCATTTCGTGCTTCACAGTTAGAGATGGCTGAGGAATGTCTATCACACGCTATGGATTTGAGTGGCTTATTGCTTCTTTACTCAGCTCTTGGTGATGCTGAAGGGATAACAAAACTTTCATCTCTTGCAAAGGAGCAAGGAAAGAATAATGTTGCATTTCTTTGTCTATTCATGCTAGGTAAATTAGAGGATTGCCTTCAGTTATTGGTGGAGAGGTACTTTTGCTTTACACTTGTATTAAGCAAAATCTTTTTTTTATTATCTTGTGATTGTAATATATTGTATGATATTTTGTTCACTACTGCATTATTAAATTGTCATGTTTTGCAGTAACCGTATTCCGGAAGCTGCACTGATGGCAAGGTCTTATCTTCCAAGCAAAGTTTCAGAGATTGTATCAATTTGGAAAAAAGATCTCAGCAAGGCATGTTTCATTTTTCCTCTACTAAATAATTTTGTGAATAACATTCTGCGGTGGTTAGAATCATCACAGTTTACTTGAAATGACCTGGGCTGATCCTCATAACAGTTACTCTCACTTTGTTAAAGGTCAATACAAAAGCTGCAGATTCTTTGGCTGATCCAGAAGAATACCCTAATTTATTCGAGGACTGGCAGGTTGCTCTGGCTGTTGAGTCAAATCTTGCAGATAACAGGTCCCTATCATGTTGTATTTCTTCTAGCTTTCTTTGCATGTGAAAAAGTACTTATTTCTGATTAGTTTGCTATAGCCAAAAGGCATTTGTTTTGTATATATAAGGTGTATGAGCTACTATGATTTTGCAAGACTAGGAACATTGTCATCTATGTCATATGATAATGGATATAGATTTGGGATCAGGCTAATTATATAACTTGTTCATGTCCACAACAAGAACAATTGTGTTTGATTGGACTTTGGATGCTAGAATAAGATGGTTCAATCCTTGCACTTGGTCATATAGAAGCAAACAAGTAAAAAACATTTTTATATTTGGTCGTAAAGCTCATTGATTATCTGCATCAGTGAGAAAGGAGATACTTTTGTTTCAAATCTTTTATTGCCTACTAATCACATGAGGTAACTTTGTGGGTTTCTTACTAATTTTCACCAAAAACACAGTTTTGCAAATGGGATTTACATCTGGAAATGCCTGAAAAAAACTTTCTATCTGAATGTGTGAGAAATTTCTATCTAGAGGTTCAGAATTTGATGTCTAACTAGTTCATTGTTCTTATATGTGCACCAAATCCAATAAGTTTTGTGAACTCGTTTGTTTCTCATTATATAGAAGTAGCTATGCAAGTCAAATTATGAAACAAATAAGTATTTTTTCATGATTCTAGAATTAGAAGTTGATTTATGTGGCAGGAAGTGGTGCCATTATTTGTTGTGTTTTATATTCTATCTTGTTGGCAACATAAATTAAGCTAGAATAATAGTTTTTGAGAAGTGGCTGTGGGTGTTTAGCTTTGGTTGACAGGTGGAAGCCTAGGTAAATAGACCTAAAAATTTTATGATTCTTATTGAAACTTTGGTTTTAAGGTTGGAAAGATATATGGATTTTGAGGGTTATGCAAGAATCTTAACTTAAATCTTTTGCACGCTGGAAATAGACATTAGAGCATAATTATATGAACTGACAATTTTAGTGTTATGTTTTCATGTCATATTTTGGTTAGTTTTTAATGCTTCTGAAGATGTCTTGCTTGTTTGGACCCAATTTGTAGTCGACTTACTGCTTTACAAATTAAATGGTACGAATTTAGTTACTGTAAATGCTATTGTCAATAACAGGGGTAAGTATCCTCCTGCTGAGGAATACTTGAGCTACGTTGAAAAATCAAACATTATTCCCGTTGAAGCATTCAAAAGCATGCAAGTTGTTGAAGAGAGCCTGCCTGTTGAAAATGGTGATTCTGGCCACATGGTATGGATGCATTTAATCTTTCCTGCAATAGCATATTGTTTCTTATGCAAGTTTAATTAGAGCATGTATATAGAGAATGCCAAAACAGGTGATATCGGTTTCGATCGATCCAAGTACTTTATTTAGAGCAGCCAGTTAGCAGAATTATACTTGTATGGCTCAGGCAGATCATGTCAAAACTGATCAGGGCAGGGGCTGCGGCTGGGAGAAACACTAAGAATTTTTTTAAAAGTTAATAAAAGTGGGAAGTAAATTTTAATAGATCACAACATAAAGATATCAAGAAGGATGGGTATCAGATTTAAGCGAAGCAAAGCTGTTGTCACAGAAGTGTTTCAAGCAGAACATTAGAAAAGAGAAGAATATGACAAAATTGAATAAAAAGACAATATTGGAGAGGACAATGAACATATGTTAGTTATTTGTAGGACAGTGAACATATGACAGTAGTCAAGCCTGGCATCACTTATCCATTCTTTCCTTCACAGTTTTGATGGTACACCTTACAGTTGGTTATTTATAGGACAGTGAACATATGTTACCTTCTATTCGGAATCCAGACAAAATAAGACCTCTGTCATATGTCTTTTTATCTGAAAAAAGTTTATACTTAAATTATGAGATGATATACAGTAAAACAATTATTTCTATCAACTATATATAGATTGCCAAATCTGGCATCATTGCACCATGCTTTAATTCATGACAACAACTCCATATCATTCAGTTGTGCAAAGTTCTACTAATATTGTATTTTAGGGATTTTGAAAACCCTCGAAGTAAATGAAAATTTCTCTTCATTTCCCAGGATATGTTCTTTGATTTCACACTTGTTTTGATCTATTTCTTTTCTCGTCCCACTGCTATGTAATGCAATGTCCATGATAAACAATTTGCAGGTGATGGAAGAGGATGGAGTGGAGGAGGGTCAAGAGGAACCCGTCGAAGTTGATGTAGATGATTCTACAGACAGTGCTGTCCTTGTCAATGGGAACGAGAATGAGGAACAGTGGGGTATGAGTAATGAAGGGAATCCATCAGCTTAAACGCTTTTGGTTGAGCAGCTGTAAAATTGAAATTTTGTCTGGTGATTTATTGTTTCCCATCCTCAACTTTCACATTTTCTATAGAAATGTTCCATTGCTGCTGGTATTAGAGAAATAAGGTGTTTTTTAACCTGAAGTGTTGGATTAGAGCCTCAACCAAGTTATATTACTAAATCATGTCTCTGTAGCAACCATGTTCCAATTGATTACTCCATATTGTCGACAGTTGCTGCAGAAGTTTGATCTTCATCTGTAGTGTAAACTTTTTTGTTGCTAGTCTGGAGTCAACTTTTAATTTCAGCTCTGTAGTTGCACTGTTGAGAGCATGTTTGGGCCTTTTTTTTTTTGTATTTGCCCAAGGATGGAAAATTGTTTGAGAGATAATATAACTCCAACCAGGTTTTTGTGTACTTGATGGTTTCCGTTTGTAAAATACATCAGATTATTGCTCGCATTCCCTGCATATCTGTGTCAATTGTCTGATGCTATTTTTCATGTACTATCAGCATATGCCTAGTCACTAGATATTTTATGTCACAATAGCTTCTTGTCATTCCAACTACATATGGAAATCTAGATGTGATCTTGGATAAAGTTTGTGCAGTCATTGAGAATCTTAAGTGTCTTTGTTATGGTAACTAGTCAAATTTCATCGCTGGTAGCTAACATAGTTGCTTCACTGATAAATTCAGCTTTTGACACCAATGCTTGTGTTTTCCTTTCTTTTTTTTTTTTCTTGTCAAACGAAGGAAAATTATCTATAAAATTTTCTAGAAGGTAACTGTGCTTGCTCTGCCATTGTCCAGCCCTGAGATGTTTTCCTCGTGGTTCATTGTCTTTTTAGAAATGTCAATCCGTATAAACAGGTCCATGAAATAGCATGAAAGCTACAGGTTGCCTTTACACTGCATTCCTAGAAATATTGGTACGAGTATAGAGGCTTGGTTTTCCCAGCCTAGCAGGCAACACTATCTCAATCAAGCTATTGAATTCAGTTGTCATATATGAAGTTCTGCTGTTGCTTTTGATTTTGTTTTATTGTTTGAGAAACGTCCTTCAAATGAAAGAATATTCGCTTAAATGTTGCATGATTTCCTATTGACTGTTCTCTTAAACTTAATTTTCTTTATTTTTTGCTTTGAAGAAATTTGGTGGTCCTGTATATGTGTCGTCATGTCCCTCTCGTCTTGATGAATGGGTCTTCATTCATCAGATCCAATAGGCTGTGGTAGGCGACTAAGCTGAGATCACAGGTTCCAACGCTCCTACTGCCACCGTGAGTGAAAGCAAATATTTTAGCGTTATGCCTCTCGAGGTTTTGTAGCTTTCTACCCTTACCCCTAGAAGATTTATCTTCTTCCAAGTGTTATTTGGTTTATTCTTTTACATAGAGTTTCTGAGTTAAGAACTCGTTTTTCGTAGCGTTATACAAGATTTTTTTCACTCTATTGTTACTGGATTTGGGCGTGTACTTAGTTTTGTTGGCATTTTCTATTGTACCTCTACAGGCTCGGCCAAGTTTGATTAGTAGTTTCCTCGGGTAATCCGCATGTTACGGATGGCTCCCTCAAGTGGACCGATAATGCTCGAGGCCCGTCAGCTTATCTTGGACTGACATGCCAATTTTGTCTTCACGGCATTCATTCACCTGGCCACACTAATTCCTTGTCATGGCCCCATGATTAGAGGCTCATCCACATGGCACATCTACGTTGCAATCAATACAGTAAAATGACTGCAATCTCCGCCAAGACAACCTCTTATTTGATTCACTAAATGACATAACACGTTACGTTCCTCCTCTCTTACTCGCTGGTCAGACCATATGGATGAAGGCTTCATTTGAGGCTCGCGATCTCCTCCACGAACGCCCTCAGATTGCGATCCGACGACCCGCCTTCGCCCACCGCCTCCCGTGCCTTCTCCTTCCACATCTCCGCTCTTTTCCTTACCTCCTTCCCCCTCTCCCCTTCTCCCATCGCCGTCTCCAAGCACCTGCACAGCTCTGCCCCTTGCAAAATTCCTTCTCCGTCAAGATCGCCCCTCACTCCCATGCCCCACAGCTCCGCCAGCATCGCGTTCGTCACCTGGTCTGACCACTGCGGCACGGCCACCACTGGCACCCCGCACACCATGCTCTCTACCGTCGAGTTCCAGCCGCAGTGCGTCACGAAGCACCCCACCGCCGGGTGCGACAGCACCCGCACCTGCGAGCACCACTCCACCACCATCCCGCCCTCCCCCTCCTCCTCCAGCTTGTCCCCCAGTTCCCCTCTGTTCTCCTTCCTCACCACCCACAGGTACGGCTTTCGGCTCTCCTTCAACCACCGCAGGATCTCCTCCGCCTGGCGCTTCTTCATCACCGCGAGGCTCCCGAACGATACGTACACCACCGACTTCTCCGGCTTCGAGTCCAGCCACTCCATGTAGTTCTTCTCGTCCGGCTTGAACAGATCGGCCCCTGCGCTCGCCATGCCTTTTGCTTCCTTGGTGCCTTCCAGCCGCAGTGGAGACGGCAGCATTGGCCCTATCGGTATCAGCTTTACCTGTCCAGCACCTGCCGCCAGCGCATCCCCTTCTAATTCTTCGAAGGTGTTCACCAGAACCCTCGCTGTCGAGCTGGCTTCTTCGCGATCCAGTACATCGAACGTTTCCCGAAACATATCGATCACCGCGGCGTAGGGATCGTCAGGCCTCGTAATGCCGAGGAAGGAAGGGAGGTCACAGATCTTGACCGGTGGCAGCCCGGGCAAGCTCACCTCGAACTGCGGGTCGTGGCCATGGGAGGCGATCAGGCCATCGTAGCCATGGAAGTAGTGGTAGTACATGGCGAAGACGGTGGCCGGCTGGATCCAGTAGTGGGCAGAGGGGATTCCGTGGTCGCGAGCCACGTCGACGACCCACGGCAGAAGCAGGGTTTGGATAATGCAGGTGACGGGGCGACCGCGTTCCTGGAGTGATCGGACGATGGCGGCAAGCGTCCTGGTGCCAACGGATTTGACCCGGAGACGGAACTCGTCGCGGTCGCCGGTCTCCCTGTCGAAGCCGCCGTCGAAGCCGTCGGAGTAAGGGACGTAGCAGACGACGCCGTCGTCGACTTCCTGGTCAGCCGAGCTGGGGAACATGCGACGGTGACCGGAGATGGAGGTGGAGAAGGTGACCCTAGCGCCGGCGACACGCGCGAGGCGCCTGCACAGCTGGAGAGCAGGGTTGACGTGGCCCTGGGCGGCGTAGGTGACTACAAGAAAGTGTGGCTCCATTGTTCTACGGGGTGGCTTCACAAGTCATTGGTGGCGATATAATACCGCGAGGGTAATCCACATCTTAAGTGACGTCTGTCCTGACGATCCAACGCAGTCCACATATTTGACCAGTCGAGATGTTGGGTACAGCACGGACGCTTACTGATTGGAAGCTATCAAGTGTTCAATGGCGCAGTCGCCATGAAGCCAAACCAATTGCAGTCTCCTTCGAACCCACTTTTATAAAGACCACAAGCCTAAGTGTCGAGAAACAGACGCTTGTGCTTACTGAGAACCTTTGGTAGCAGTACCATATCAATTGAGGAAGAGAGCCTTTGATTAGGCATTGTTTCACGATAACAGATGAATCATGACTGTCCTCAATTTTATTAAGATTCTAGGTTGGAGAGGGATGAGAGAAACCAGCTGTAAGCTGCAGGGACAGGTCTGACACATATATATATACATATATATATATTATTTCGTTTACCACTGCTACTGTTCACGTTACTGGTGACAGCAACATGACCATCAACACCGGACCACGAGGAGGATTGCTAGCTCAGGCTTGTGATGGAGTGCACCTTGCGGTGACATGGAACCTCGATGGATGTGGTCTACTTGCAGTGATCCGTTGCACCTTCTCATGTCTTTGACGAAGGAATGGTCAGCGGATGGAACGAGCCACAACCTCCCTCCTCCATGTATTATGTGTTGGGGTAGTCAAGATGATTGGTCTTCAATTATTTTTATTATTGATTCAGCATGTGATCCATGCCAGAAGAAGTGAACAGGTTGGCGAGTTTTTGGTGAGACAATCACTTTACACGGCACTGTGACATACTTAATTATGCCGGACAAAAATTTTGTCCAATTACAAGATTATTTTTAAGATTTTAAGATATGTGAGGATAAAAATTTATTTTTTAAAAGATTTTTAAGATATGTTTTTAAATTTAGGTTAATTGTTAATTATATATTATTCATGTAATTAGTTATATTTAGCATCTCGATCACTATATTTTTTAAAATTATATTGAAATCTATATACATACGAATGTAAAATATTTAATTTTATTTTTTCTCATGTCATCGATTCTGTTAATAAAAATACTGTATGTGCTGTTGTATACGAAAAATGATACTAAAATAGGGTTAAAAGATAATTTCGAAATGCTATTCTCACCATCCAAACCAAAAAAAAGAGAGAGAGGTTTTGTTGGGAAACGAAATAAGACATTGCTATTCGATTACGAAATAAGACATTGCTATTCGGAGGTATTTTCGTCGATAGAATTGATGATATGATGAGAAACAAGATTAAATATTTCACTTTTGTAAATATAGGGATCTCAATATAACTTTTGAAAGCATAAGGATCACAATGCTGAAGAAATCTAACTACATCGATAATTTATAATTGGATCTTCAAAATTTTCAAAAATGATATATTCTTTTCATAATCAAAACCTAATAGAAATTAATTTATATACAAAAATAAGATTTTAAATTATTATCCTTATTAGTTTAGGAATTATATCAACCAAATAGAATGACTTCTTGTCGATTATCATGTTTTTGAGTATCTTACAATATTTTTGGTACCTTTATCAAAGCACTATAAATCTATTCATAAATATTATGAGAAGCAATTATAAAACTCAAAACCTAATCGAAATTAATTTCTATAAAAAAAGAAATAGTTTCAAATATATATTCTTACTGCTTTATAAATAAAATTAAATAAATAAGAAGATGATTATATCTTATAATATTTTTAATAGACTTAGAGTATCTTGAAAAACACTTAAATCTATTCAAAAATATTATAACGAGGAACTCTTGAGGTATTTGATGGAAATTCTTATGATTCTTTCCATTTCATACAATAGATATACCATAATTTGTATTAAGGTATTTTATATATGTATATAAAATTAACTATACTATTTTGGAATGCCATTGTAGTGTTCATTCATATAAAAAAAACCATTATATCTCAACAAAGGTAATTCATTCATATACAAGAAACATTGTATCTCAATAAATGATGTAAATCTTTATGTTTCTTTTCATTGTATGTAATATTAATAAATGAACATAAATATAACTTGCATTCAACTCATAGAAATACTTAAGACATGAATAAGGAATCATGAACAAACACCACAATGACGTCTCAAAATATTATAATGATTTAGACAAGTATACCTTTGGACGGAGTCATAAGGTGTAGAGATGAATTGTTCCGGTGGAGTTGGTGAGAGATATTTATAGTATTACAGAAAAAAAATATATCAAATAAAAAAAAATAAGAACGAAGGTGTATTTTGAGAAAAGCCAAAAAAATTCAAATATTATTAGTTAATATGTTGGTAGGAGGACGTCTCTTCAAGAATTCTTTCGCGTGCGGATAGTATAGACGAAATAAAAAAGCCCCCTCGTACGTCACCACAAACGTCACCACCACGGTAGATCCACCAGGGCAGGACCAGACGTCACAGCAAGGCCCCGACTCCCTCTATATTACCTCGCCCATCCCACGGTGGATCCACAAGGGCAACAAACTCCTCGCCCTCCTCCTCAGGGTTTGGCGACCGAAAGCTCAGTTCAATGGAGCAGCATTTCCTCGTGGTGACCTACCCGCATCAAGGGCACATCAACCCTACCCTCCACCTCGCCCGGCGCCTCGCGCGCGTCGCCGGCGCCAGGATCACCTTCTCCATCGCCTTGTCAGGCCACCGCCGCCTGTTTCCCAGCTCGGCCGATGGAGAAGTCGACGACGGCCTCATCTCCTACGTCCCTCACTCCGATGGCTACGACGACGGCTTCAAACTGGGCGTGGACGACCTCCAGGCCTACACGCATCGGACCAGATCCGTCAGCTCCAAGACCCTCTCCGCCGTCGTCCGGTCCCTCGAGGAACGCCGCCGACCTGTCACCTGTGTCATCTACACCTTGCTTCTGTCGTGGGCCGCCGATGTGGCGCATGAGCACGGCCTCCCTTCTGTTCTCTACTGTATACAGCCGGCCACCGTCTTCGCCCTTTACTACCACTACTACCATGGCTATGATGGCCTGATTGCGTCGCACAGACAAGACCCGTTGTTCCAGGTGAACTTGCCTGGGTTGCCACCGCTCAGGATTTGCGACCTACCTTCCTTTCTCAGGATTACGAGCCCCGACGATCCCTACTTCATGTTCATCGAGTTGTTTCAGGAAATGTTCGATGTGCTGGACGGCGAAGAAGCTCGCTCGACGGCGAGGGTTCTGGTGAACACGTTCGACGAATTAGAATCCGATGCGCTTGTGGCTACCGGAAAGATGAAACTGATACCGATAGGGCCGACGGTGCCGTCTGCTCTCTTAGAAGGCACTGAGGTCGCAAGAGGCACGGGGAGCACAGGAGTCGATCTCTTCAAGCTCGACGAGAAGCAGTACATGGAGTGGCTGGACTCGAAGCCGGAGAAGTCGGTGGTGTACGTGTCGTTCGGAAGCCTCGCGGTGATCAAGAAGCGGCAGGCTGAGGAGATAGTGCGGGGACTGAAGGAGAGCGGGCGGCCGTATCTGTGGGTGTTGAAGAAGGAGAACAGAAGAGAACTGGAGGGGGAGGTCGAGGAGGAGGGTGGGATGGTGGTGGAGTGGTGCTCGCAGGTGCGGGTGCTGTCGCACCCGGCGGTGGGGTGCTTCGTGACGCACTGCGGCTGGAACTCGACGGTGGAGAGCATAGTATGCGGGGTGCCGACGGTGGCCGCGCCGCAGTGGTCGGACCAGAGCACCAACGCGAGGCTGGTAGAGCTGTGGGGAACGGGTGTGAGGGGCGAGCTCGACGGTGAAGGAGTCCTGGAAGGGGCAGAGCTGAGCAGGTGCGTGGAGACTGTGATGGGGGAAGGGGAGACGGGGAAGGAGATAAGGAGGAGGGCGGAGATGTGGAAGGAGAAGGCACGGGAGGCGGTAGGCGAAGGCGGGTCGTCGGATTGCAATCTGAGGGCGTTCGTGGAGGAGATCGCGACCCTCAAATGAAACCATCGATCACCGACGCCAAAAGATAAAACACTGCGGACTGCAACTGCGACGTGGGAAGAACGGAACTACTTTGTCTTCATTTGATACTAAAAAAGACACGACTATGTGCTATTGACTATGGAACACTATAATACTATTCATATAACGAGCTTGAATCGATTTCACATCCGATCTATATTTTACCTGTGTCAATCTTGGTTCAAATCATACTTATAATCGTGGAGTCAAATAGAAAACCTCTCGACGAGTTAACATTAGAATATCATCATCGATGGAATTTATAAAAAGAGAATTTTAAATCTCACATACGTATAACACGAAAACACCTTGTTGCAAGAATTATTTATATAAAATTTGAGTTAAATTCAAAAAAGTTTAGCCACTCAGATCATCTAGCAAAAGCTCTAAAAATCTTAACTTTTTCTCTCATTTTCTCTCCTCTCTCTATTCACTGCATGCACGCACCTGTTCGCTGCCCTCACTATGCATGTCTCCATCGTTTCCCTTTTTCTTTTTTTTTTAATAAATTAAATTTGAGCTCAATGCTTCAATCATCTAGTCCAAGCCCACGTACGAGCTAGACCTAATAATTCTCTCTCTCTAACTTATATAGTGGGTTGTACTAAGCCCGTTCTTCATCTACATGCTTCAAGCTTCTTCTTAAGCAAATACTTTTTCAACATATCTGATCCATTCTCATTTATATACACATTTTCTAAGTACAATTCTTTCATCTCAAGTAAATCACGAATCCAGTGATATCTAAAATCAATATACTTGGATCTAGAATGATATATTGAATTCTTGGATAGGTGAATAACATTCTATCACAGTAAATAGTATATCTTTCCTGTTCTAAGCTCAATTCATGTAGAAACTTTTTTATCCATAAAGCTTACTTGCAGGCTTCAATAATTACCATATATTCTGCTTTTGTGATTGATAGAGTAACACAATTCTATAACTTAGACTACCAAGAGACTTCTCCCCCTACAAATGTCATTAAGAATCATGAAGTGAACTTCTTGGAATCAG